CGCAGTCGAGATGGGAACTACATCTTCCATCCCTTCCAAATCACCATTGGGTTGCATTCTTAGCAACTGGGATAAATTTGACCCCAAAAATTTTAAAAAAAGAAGAGATTAGTTTTCTTTTGTAACACTGTTTGGCCCCAGTATAAATTAGGGGGTGGAGAGATATGGCCTGAGAATGGGAGCACAAATTATAATACTATCCTACAGCTAGATCTATTCTGCCGGAGGGAAGGCAAATGGTCTGAAGTTCCTTACGTGCAGGCGTTTATGGCTCTGTACCGAGATCCCTCGCTTTTGCTCCAGCCCCACCCTGACAAAACCTACAGGCCCAAGTGTTGATCAATTAGAAGATACCCTCCTTAGCTCCCCACCTGTCTCTCAAGAGAGATTAAGAGAACCCCAGAGTTCTGAAGTCTCTGCCCCTACCTTAGAGGGAGCGACCTCTCCACCACCTTATGCTATGGGTAACCTAAAGCCACCAGCTGAGGAAAAACCCAGCCCTGCAGGACATACTAGAAGTGGCGCTTCTTATCTCCCTACCACTCCCTGCACTCCTACCCTTGAGGGAGGTAGCAGGCCCTGAAGGTGCTATAAGGGTACAAATGCCATTCTCTATAACTGATTTACAACAATGTAAAGACAGGCTAGGGAGTTTTTCAGAGGACCCTTCACGTTTCACTAGTAATTTCCAGACTCTTACTCTAGCATTTCAGTATGTCGTGGAGGGATTTGTACATAATTCTGACCACCTGCTGTTCCCCAGACGAGAAACAGCGGATCTGGGAGGAGGCTCGTAAGTATGCAGATCAGCTGCATACCCAGAACCCTGGCACTAACCAGCCAGCTGCCCAAGCTGTCCCAGACCAGGAACCTAACTGGGAATACAATACTCAGGCAGGGATCCGGAGTAGGGATGCAATGATAGATTGCTTACTGGCAGGAATGAGAAACTGCATCAAGAAACCTGTGAATTATGAAAAGGTTAGGGAAATCTTTCAGGGCAAGGAAGAAAACCCAGCTCTCTTCAGAAACAGACTAGTAGAAGCCTTCCAAAAAATATACAAACTTGGACCCTTCATCCCCGGAGGGTCGAATCTTGATAGGGCAGCATTTTATAATTCAATCTGCCCCTGATATTCGCAGGAAGCTTCAGAAATTACAAATGGGCCCGCAGACCCCCTTAGATCAGCTCATGGATACAGCCTTTTCAGTCTTTAACAATAGGGATTTGGAGGAAAGAAAACAGGGAAAGAAGGAAAGGGAGAGGCAAGCAGAGCTCCTTGCACTAGCCTTTAGTAGTGCCATTGGCGGAAACCAGCCCCATCAGGGGAGCTCGGGGAGGCCTCAAAAGAATCAGGGGCAAAAGGATCAGACCTGTTATAAGTGCAAGCGCCCTGGACACTGGTCAAAGAACTGCACTCAGCCACCTCCGAGGCCCTGTCCTCTATGCAAGAACTTCAGTTCTGATCCCTGGCACTGGAAGGTAGACTGCCCCCCGTTCCCATAGTGGAAAGGGGTCATCTCCCAAGGCCATGGCTACTCTTGAGGACTGAAGGTGCCCGGGGAACAGGTCGGCCCCAGGGAATACTCATATTCCCATCTCTACCGAGGAGCCCCGGGTAACTCTAGATGTGGCAGGTAAGAAAATCGACTTTCTTGTTGATACAGGGGCCACTTACTCTGTCCTTAACTCTTACTCTGGACCTCTTTCCTCCAAATCAGTTAAGGTAATGGGGGGTCGAAGGAAATCCTAAGGCATATTTTTTATACATTCCCTATCACTTGCCAATTTGAGAGTCGAATATTCAAACACTCCTTTTTAATTGTTCCTCAGTGCCCTATTCCTCTGTTAGGCCGGGACCTTTTAGCTCGGATGGGAACCATCTTGTTGTTCCCTGAAGTGCCATTTGAGTTAAGTAAGGTGATGATAATCAGTAGTGTTCGAAAATCAGGAAGAAATCCCAAGTTCAGTTCTGGATGCAGTAAACCCACTAGTTTGGGAGTCAGGGATTCCTGGAAGAGCAAAGACTGCATTACCGGTTAAAATCCAGTTAAAATGAAAATGTCTTTGTTGTTTCTATTAACCATTCTCTACTCGCCTGCACCCTGTGTAACGGAATGGGATGAAAAATTTTCTAGTGAATGCTTCTCGAAACCTTAGCAGCAGGAGAAAAACCTGGCCCAATGTTGGATATGTCATCCTAACCCAGAAACTCCTTCCAGATATAATACTCATATAAAAGCCTACCCAATAGCTAATGAATCCTTAATCAGTGCTTTGAATTCCTCTGCCAATTACACGCGTTCCTCTTTTTTCTTTAAGAGTCAGATGGGAGCGAAAATCCTCCTTTGTGTTTCCGTATGACCCCACTAGAATTAAAGCCATTTAATTACTCCAGCACCTCTCTTAAGTGCAACAGTACGATGGGATGTACCCCATGTTATAATAATACTCATACAAGGGCCATTGACCCATTTAAAGCCCTGGCTTCTCTTTCAAGTTCCAGCTTTCTAGAGAATCTTTCTGAGGAAGAAATTTTCAAACCTTTAAATTGGTCACATATAGTATGCTACCCGAATTATGATTCTAACTGTATTCCTAATAGTACCCATTGTTGCTTTGACAAAACTCACAATGCAGATACAAACGATACTTCTAAATGTGTTACTTGGAAATTAAACCAATCTCTTCAAGGAGTATTAGCAAAATTTCTACCACCTCCTGCAGGGGGGAAAGATCAAGGAAATAACTTAGGCCCTTTTAAGGACTGCCTTTCCCCCCTTGCCATATGCCCTCCTTAACAAATATAACTCCACTAATGCCACAGTTATTGCAGCACCCCCGGGGCTCGTCTGGCTATGTGGGACTCCCAATAACTGGCTAACGGATCATTCAGAACTTCAAGAAGCTATTGCTTATACTCATCTCAGCAACTCTAAACATGGGGGTGACTGTACCTTAGGGACCTTGGCACCCCAAGACCTTACCGTTATAAATATAACCATGGGTCCTGGGAGTCCATCTCTCAGCAGAAAAAAAAAAACGAGCTTTTGGTCTAGTAGTGGCTGGAGCTGCTGCCACTATAGCCGCTGCAGCCCCCTGGGGAGGCTTCGCCTATCATGAGGCCACTCTAAGGGAACTCACTAAGATTATAGAAGAAATCTCCAAAGATACTGCTGGTACTCTAGCTGGACTCTCAAGATCAGTAGACTCATTGGCAAATGTAGTCATGGATAACCGCCTTGCCCTTGACTATCTTCTAGCAGAACAAGGAGGGGTATGTGCTGTTATCAATAAAACCTGCTGCACCTATGTAAATAACTCTGGAATGATCGAAACTAACATAAAGAAAATTTATGAACAGGCAGAATGGCTACATAAGTATAATCAACAGGGCCAAGGGATTAAGGAAGCCCTGACCTCCTGGTTCCCTGGCTTAACATGGTTATTACCCTTCTTAGGGCCCTTAATAACACTGCTGGTTTTACTACTTTTAGGACCTTGCTTATTTAATTTACTTGTTAAATTTGTTTCTTCTAGACTTAAACAGTTCCACGTCAAACTGATGACGCTCCAAGGTTTCCAACCAATCCCTGAGAACGATGTCGAAGCTGACCAACATACAGCATCTGCGGTGGCCTCAGGAATTCCTCTTCAACCCTCTAGATAGAATAGGGTGAGAGTTCCGTGGTTCTCAATAGGCAGGGTCTACTGTCCAATCTAAGCCTGAAGCAGCTATGGAAGACGGATCTTCATCCTTCAACAACCCCCAAAAAGATTTTTTGAGAACCATGTCTCTCAGGGGGAAGTTGAGGCAGGAGGTAGTCAGGAAGGAAGCTCCCGAGGCCCCGCAGGGCTGAGGGTAGAAAACACCTATACATGACAAAGACCCCCTAAGACGGGTTGTTCCTGTTTTCTGGGACAACTCTGAATCATAGAATGCGCCTGCGCGCTACCCCCTGATTCATTATAATATCATTACAATGAAATAACATTGTGGGGACTCCCTTCTCCAGTAGCCAATCAAGAAAGTCATGGGAAACCACGCATGTGCAGTAGCTTTGAAATCCAACTCCTTGTACCTGCGCAGGAAAAGCCCGCCAAAGACTAGCAGGGGGGCTTCTGCCCCTATAAGAATAGAATCCCCCCAGCCCACGTGCCCTTTTTTTTCCTCTGCTCAGAGCTGGCTCACTCCCGTGTCCTGTGGTGTGTACTATCACTTAATAAACCTCCCCTCTTTCTTTATGCTATAAACTTTGTGTGTTCGGTTCAATTCTTTGTTCTCGATCACTAAGAACCTGGTTACCTGTGCACACCTGTGCACACCTGTGACACTAGGACCCCTCTCCAGAATCCCCGGGGTCTGAGACTTTGTCCTGGGGATCCCTTGTGCCTCAACACTGTTCCCAGAGACTTGATTCCTCCCCAGGAAACCTAAATCTGTTCCCTCAAGGTGGGTAGGGTATCCCACATCCCTACCTTGGGCTCTAACAACACAGCTTTCAGCATTCATCACGGGAAACACCACCGCTGGGCACCCCAGACACCCAGACACATTTCCCAGACCCTGATGGAGTCCTATGCGCACGCACGCACGCGCACACACACACACACCCCCATCAAGTTCTCAGCCCTGTAGAATGGGAATCCTAGTTGGGGGAACCTCCCAGCCCTCTCTGCACCACTAATCCTGCCTCCCACCCACACAGGGCACCAAAGCCATCACCCTCCTCCACACAGTCCACTACAACCCCAGCCAGTTCCTGACACCCCAGGAATTCAACCCTGAGCATTTTCTGGATGCCCATCAGTCTTTCAAAAAAAGCCCTGCCTGCATGCCCTTGTCTGTGAGAGTGGTGGGGACACGAGTCAGTCATTCAGACCCTTGATTCCCACCTACACTGCCCAGCCCTCCAAACCCTCTCACTTCATCCCACCCGTCCTCAGCTTTGGATGAGACATCCCTTCCCCCTCCCAACTCTGCTCCTACAGGAGCATAATGGCTGAAATGCTTGTGGAGGGAGGTAGAGAGGAGGAAGAGTAATTTCACTTGAAAGCAGTCACTCAGTCTCTCCACTGGGTGGCGCAGGCGAGGTGGTTCTAGTTTTTCTTGGCTTCCATCTTCACTCTGCTAAAGAAAAATCTTTCCTATGTAAGTCAGCATTACAGAGGGGAAAAAGTTGGGGAAGATAATAATAGGTAACTTAGCCTATTGCATATTGTGTGCCAGGCACTGCCTCTGAGAAGGACTTAAGAGCGGTGGCTAAGTACTGGGCTTTGCAGCCAGACTCCAGCTCCATCATCTCCAAGGTGTACGGCCTTGGAGATGTTATTTCACCTCTGTGCCTCGATTTCCATATCTATAAAATGGAGATCATAATAAGGCCCAGCTCTCAGAGTTATGAGGGTTAAATTAATTAATAGCTGTATAGTGCTTAGAGTAGTGCATGGCACATGCTAAAACCTACGTAAGTATTATTTTCTCGCCACTTTATCTGCATTTACCATTCACAACAACCTACTGAGTCACTATTATCCCCATTTTAAATACCCAGAAACTGGACTTCCAGCCAAGATGAAGGCGTAGGTAAACACACTGTGCCTTCTCGCACAACCAAAATAAAGACAAGAAAAATTTAGAAACAAAAAAAACAGTACTGACAGAAAATTGAACTGTATGGAAGTCCAACAAACAAGGAGTTAAAATAGACACATTCATCCAGACCAGTAGGAGGAGAGGGTACATGGCAAAAAGAAGTGGCGGATGGCAGATCCCGGGAATGCAGGTGGCAGCTGGTGGACCCAGTGAGGTGGCAGATTGTGGAGGGGCGCAGCGCACAAGGTGGCTGGTGGACCAGGCTATCCCACATTCACACACAGATAAACCAGGTGAAACTGGGGAGTGAGACAGACCACACAACCCAGGGCTCCAGCAAGGGGAAATAAAACCTCAAAACACCAATTGAAAACACCTGTAGGGGTTGAGGTGCTGGGAGACACTCCCAGCCTCACAAGAGAGTTCCTTGGAGAAACCCACAGGGTCCTAGAACATACACAAGCCCACCCACATGAGAATCAGCACCAGAAGGGCCCAGGTGTTTAGGGGAAGCGGCAGAAGAAACTGAAATCCAGCAGAAAGCGGAGCAAGTGCCATTGCTCCCTCTCAGACCCCTTCCCCACAAACAGCACCACAACACAGCCAAGTGGATTGCCCCACCCTGGTGAACACCTAAGGCTCCGCCCCTCTCTACATAACACACACATCAAGACAAAAAAAATGTCCCCAACAAAAGAACAGATCAAGGCACCAGAAAAAATACAACTAAGCAATGAAGAGATAGCTAACCTATCAGATGCACAGTTCAAAGCACTGGTGATTAGGATGCTCACAGAATTGGTTGAATTTGGTAGCAAATTAGATGAAAAAATGAAGGCTATGCTAAGTGAAATGAAGAAAAATGCACAGGGAACCAATAGTGATGGGAAGAAAACTGGGACTCAAATCAATGGAGTGGACCAGAAGGAAGAAAGAAACAACCAATCAGAAAAGAATGAAGAAACAAGAATTTTAAAAAAACTAGGAGAAACTTGGGAACCTCCAGGACATCTTTAAACGTTCCAACATCCAAAATATAGGAGTACCAGAAGGGGAAGAGGAAGAGCAACAAGTGGAAAAGTTATTTGAACAAATAATAAAGAAGAACTTCCCCAATCTGGCAAAGGAAATAGACTTCCAGGAAGTCCAGGAAACTCAGAGAATCCCAAAGAAGTTGGATCCAAGGAGGAACACACCAAGGCACATCATAATTACATTACCCAAGGTTAAAATGAAGGAGAGAATCCTAGAAGCAGCAAGAGATAAGGAGACAGTCACCTACAAAGGAGTTCCCATCAGACTGTCAGCTGATTTCTCAAAAGAGACCTTGCAGGCAAGAAGGGGCTGGAAAGAAGTATTGCAACTCATGAAAGGCAAGGAACTACATCCAAGATTGCTCTGTCCAGCAAAGCTTTCATTTGGAATGGAAGGGCAGATAAAGTGCTTCCCAGATAAGGAAAAGTTAAAGGAGTACATCATCACCAAGCCCTTATTATATGAAATGTTAAAGGAACTTATCTAAGAAAAAGATAAAAAACATGTATAGTAAAATGACAGCAAACACACAATTATTAACAACCACACCTAAAACAAAAACAAACTAAGCAAACAACTAGAACAGGAACAGAACCACAGAAATGGAGATCACATAGAGGGTTAGCAACAGGGGAGTGGGAGTAGGAGAGAGGGGGGAAAAGGTACAGAGAATAAGTAGCATAGATGATAGGTGGAAAATAGACGGGGGGGCAAGAATTGTATGGGAAATGTAGAAGCTAAAGAACTTATGACACATGGACATGAACTAAAGGGGGGGAATGTGGGTGGGAGGGAGTGTGCAGGGTGGAGGGGAGTGGAGGGGGGAAAATGGGACAACTGTAATAGCATAATCAAAAAATATATTATAAATAAATAAATTAATTAATTTTTAAAAACCCAGAAACTGTGGCATGCCCAAGATCACAAAAAATAGGGCAGAACCGGGATTTGAATCCATAAAGTTGCATTTGTACAATATCAGGCCATTCTGGTTCAGGACTTACTTAAAGCTCTTTCCCAGATCTTTGTCCTCGTATGCTTTCCTCTGGGAATTTGGGGCTGGAGCCCCTCACCTCCTCTTATGTCATCACTCCTCCACTCCCACCTCTGAAGGATGCCAGCAGTGCCTGAGCGAGTCCTTGGTGTGCATGGAACCCTTCCTCTACTTCATCACCATCCTGCAAAACTTCTCGCTGCAGCTGCTGGGGGCGCCAGAGAACATTGACCTGACCCCGCTCAGCTCCGGTCTCTGCAATTTGCCACGGCTGTGCCTGCGCCGTGCGATGACACCCGAGCCCTTCCAGATTCACGTGTGGGCGATGAGGCTCGCCCCTAGAGGTTGTTCTGCTCCTCTTCTCCGTCCACTGTGCCCCCTCCCTCTCGCTGTCACACTTGCTTTCCCTCACTCTGTGCCTGCCACATGCCCATCCCTCATCCTCCCATCTTTCCCCCTCTGTGCACCCAGAGGCAAAGATTTGGGGAAGATGAGGTGCATGTCTTGTTTTACCCACAGAACTCGCTGTATTACACACCTTTTGGGGGGCTCTTGTATAATTTCCTAGTAAATTACCCTGCTGTGGTGAAATAAAGGGAGGAGGACAGGTCCCTAGGATGGAAAGAAGGGAGAACTGGCAGCAGAGAGAGAAGGCACCAACAAGTTTCACGCTTACCCTTGGGACAGCTAGAAATTGGTAGAAATTGTTACCTGGACATAGGCTGGAATATAGAGGCCATGACAGCCCAAAGACAGGGAGACAGAGAAGCAAACAGCACCCAGAAAGACACTGAACAGCTCTGCAAGAGATGCAGGGCACTGTACCAAGATGGAATGTAAGCAGGGAGGAAGGGAGAGATGGGGAGATATAACAGACACAGAGACTGAGAAATAATGGGGTACTAACACATAGTGCCTCCCATTCACACAGTTCTAAATTCCTCATTTACATCTCCCTATGAGACAAAGCAATGTCATTATAGCGTTTTTACAGTTGAGCAAACAGGCTCAGAGAGGTGAGGTGACTTGCCCAAAACAAGACAACCAGAGACAGGCAGAGCTGGGAATGAAACACAGACCATCTGGTTCCAACACTGCTCCTCTCAATCTCACAAAGTGGAAACACAGAGGAAAGCATCGAGATACACAGACTAAGAAGTGTGTGTGTGTTGGGGGGGGGGGGGCAGGTGCAAGAAGATTGAAGACAGAGACAAGGAAAGACACAATGACCAGAAAAAGACAGAGAGGAAGGGCAGTGAACGTGAAAGTGAAGCAGCAGAAGACTGAAACTGTCCCCCATTTCTCACCCTATTCCTTGGATTATTCCTTTGTCTGGCAATTCCTCCCTTTGGGGTTGGGTAGCAGGCCCAGTCCTGGGGGTTCCCAACCTGGGACTGGACTTAGCACCCTGACACTCTGCTGACAGTAGCTTTTCTCCATAGGCTTTCCTGAGCCAGAGTCAGGCAGAGCGGGGCTGGGCCCCCAGCCACAGGCAAAGGTGGCCTGAGAGTCCCTACCCTGAACAGGGTCCCCCCAAGGCTGTCCAGAAGCAGGGACATGCTCTGCTGAACACTGGGCCAGCTAGGTGAGGCATATATGCAGTCTCCACATGGGGCATTCTCTCCCTGATCCCCATGCTGTTCCCACCGTAGGCCAACCAGAGTCTGCCCTAGGGCCCAGCCATGGGAAGGAGAAACTCGGAGGTCTTGAGAAGGATGGAGAGGTGGCAAAGAGAAGCACATAGAGATCCCAAAAAAGAGGCAGAGAGGTGGAGAAAGACAGGAAGAGGCTGAGAGACATGTAGAGATAGCAGAAAGAGATCCTGAAAACCAAAGACTGGAGGGAGTCAGACAGAAAGAGACGGGTGGGGAGGAGAAGCACTGGGAGAAAGGGAGAGACAGAGATGCCCAGAGAGAAGACAAGGAGATTCTAAAACAGAGAGAAATTAAGAAGGAACAGAGAGAAAGAGAAACAGGTCTGAGAGGGAAGAAAAGGGGGAAATAGAGAGACAGAAGTCTCAAGAGATGAGACACAGAGATAGGCAGGAAGAGAGACAGTCACAGGAACTGAGCAACAAGCAGAGACTGACCCCTGGCTGGTGTAGCTCAGTGGACTGAGCATGGACTGCGAACCAAAGGGTCACCAGTTCAATTCCCAGTCAGGGCACATGCCTGGGTTGCAGGCCAGGTCCCCAGTGGGGGCCATGTGAGAGGCAACCACACACTGATGTTTCTCTCCCTCTCTTTCTCCCTCCTCTCTCTCTAAAAATAAATAAATAAAATCTAAAAAAAAAAAAAAAGACAGAGACTGACAGCAATAGAGACAGAGACAGAAATCAGGATGACAAAATCACACATTCATTCAACAAACATGTACTGAGCGTGCACTGTGTGCTGAGCACTATTTTAGGTGCAGAGGATGCAGGCGTGAACAAGACAAATGTCTGTTCTTGAAGACACCCTAATAAATGAAAAGGATTCATTAGAGAGCCCAACAGAGTGGGACGGGGTGGGGTCAGGGCAGTACATGTTTGCTGTGCTCCCCTGCACCCCCACTGTCTGTGGAGTCGGCACCCCATCCCACAACCCCTCCCAGTCACCAGGTTCCTAGACCGAGGAAGGGTGACAGGTAGGAAGACCTACAACACAGACCAAGACAGAGGCAAGGAGACAGGGAAGCACAAACTGGAAGAGTAAGGTAAAGACAAATTAGGAGAGTTACAGAGAGATAAAAACATATTCGAAAGGAGAGAGCAAAAGATAGAAAACAGACATGAACAGAGGCAAACACTGAGAATGAAACCAAGACAGAGAAAGAGAGAGATGAACAGAAACAGAAACACCGAGAATGAAAGGGAAGAAGACACTGAGGGATGAAACACGAATCAATGAAGAGACACAGAGACACTGAGAGGCACTCCTAGAGACAAGCCCAGTCCTAGACTCTGCACAGCACCTCCTACCCTCTACTCAGGTCTGGGCCCTATGCCAGGCACCTGGCAAAAGGCTGGATCTGGCAAGGCAGGGTCTGGCAGGTGGTTGGGCCACATTTCTGAACAGTCTATTCCAAGTACTGGCTCAGCCACACCCCTACCTACCACTGGGCCATCCAGGCCTGGGTTTGCCCCCTCCAGCCCATCCACCCCCAGGGTAAGTGGGAATGATGCATAGTTTGTCTGCCATCACGGCCTGGCCTTAAGGTGGATGTGCCCACTGAGGGGCTTAGGGGACTGGCAACCAGGGAGCACAAAAGCAGGGGCATAGGACATTTGGGAGCATCTGGGAGCCAGAGCATTGGAAATAGAGATGGCAGGAGTTCAGGGCAGGGCATAACTATGGGGGTACTAGGGGCCATCACATGGAAAGGCACCCGGGAGTCATAAGGATAGGTACAGAAGTATCAGGCTGATGGACACCAGGAGGCTAGGACACTCAATGAGCATCTGGGAGACAGGTCCAGCATTCAGGGCTCTAAGAGCAGTGGGCATAGAAATGACAAGGACTCAGGTGTGACTCCCTAGAATCACAGTCACAGGCCACAGGAGTGCCAGCCTAATGGCACATCACCAGGGGTGGTTTTTATGTGTTTAGGACTCAGGAGTGTATTTAGCAATCTGAAGTACAGTCATGCACCAATTAACAATGGGACACATTCTGGGAAATGAGAAATTTGGTGATTTTGTCATTGCGAGGACATCACGAAGTCCACTTACACTGACCTAGATGGCACAGCCTGCTATACACCTCGGCTGCATGTGACAGCCAGTCGCTCCCAGGCTAAACTCCTGTACAGGAAGTTACTGTAAAAAACAACATGAGCTTAAGTCAAGTGCAAGAGAAAATGACGTGATCAAGAAACACAGTAAACACAACAACGTCTGCGGCTGCTGCCGGTGTGACTCAGCATACTGTTCTACAGTGGGTTGCTTCTAATACAAGTAGAAAGCAAGCACTCTAAAATAATGATTTTTAAAAGTGTAGTAAATACAGAAATCAGTAACAGGGTCATTCATCACCATCACCAAGTATTATGTGCTTGCATGTGTTATGCTTTCAGACAACTGGCAACGCAGTAGGTTCGTTTACATCATCACTACAAACACGTGAGCGGTGGGTTTGTGCTACAGCTTACCATGGGCAACAGGAATTTTCCAGCTCTATTAAAATCTTGTAGGACTACGGTTGTATGTGTGGTCTGTCGTTGACCTAAATGTCCTTATTGGGTACATGACTGTACAGGGTACAGTTTTCAGGGGTCATGGTGCAGAGAAATTTAAAAATGCACTCCTACAGGCCAAATAAGAACCCAAAGGTGCTAGGGGCTCAGGAAGGTGCAGCTGTTGGCTAAGTGTAATGACACAGAAATGCTGGTGCATGCAAATTGCCAAACAGGGCAGGCTGAGACTGGTACAAAAAGTCTAGGTGTAACCAGGCAGAGCAGCGCTAGGTCTTTGGGGGCGGAGTGACCTTGGGTTGGAAAATCTGGGGAATAAGAGGCCACAGACGCCCCGCCCTCCCACTCTGTCCCCCCTCCAAGACTCCAGGGGAATCAAATAGAGGCGAAGGGGTGCAGGCATCAGAAATCGAGGGCATGATAGCCACAAGAATCGCTGCACTGCTGTTTCTGCTCCTGCTGCCGGCGCTGGGCAGGCGAGGTTGAAGTGCGGATACTCAGACACAGAGAGCCCTATCTCCACCCCCGCCCCCACCTGGGGACCCAACGCCCTAACCCCCTGCTGGGGAATGTGTGCAGCGGGAGCCTGCATAGTGCACTCGAAGAGTTAGTCTTGACAGGGGGTGGGGTACAAAATTTTGGATTCATGGAGGTGGGCCTGGGGGCTGGAACTCCTGGTTCGCTCCGAGTCCTGAGGAAGGTTAAGGGGCCTTGAGTCCTGCGTTCTGGGAAAGGATTCTGGCTGGGGTGGGAAGCTGGGGGCCTGGACTTCTGGTTGTTTGGGAAGAGGAGGTGGTAGAGGGGAGAGTGGGGTTGTGGGGGAGTCAAATCTCCAGAGAAGCACAGTGTAGGCCTGAGCTCCCGTTAAAAGCAGAGTCACACTCACTGCCCTATCCCCAACCTCCATTTCTGGGTCCTGAGGGAGGAGGAGCCTGGCATAGGTAGCACAGTGAGGGAGCGGGGAGCAGAAGGGTCTGTTCTCCTGGTTCAAGGCTGGGAGGGGGTATACCTAGAGTCCAGATACCTAGTTTTGTGGGTGCAGGGGGCTGGGGATAGATTTCTAGATCCTGACGGAAAAAGAAAGCGTGAGCCTAGACTCCTAGGTCTGAGGCAGGAAGCTCGAGATATGAATTCCTGAGCCTGGAATAAGGAGCTGAGATGGGAACTCCTGGGTTTGAAGGGGGAACGAGTTGTGAGCGGGGCTCTGGGGTCTCGATAGAGGAGGGTGTCGGGATCTCCCACCCGGAATCCAATGAGCACCCGCTCTACGTAGCGCTCTGGCCGCTGGGCTCTCCTGTTCACAGGCAACTGGGCCAGCGCCCTGCAACGGTGCTGCGCCGCTACGCAGCGCTGTGAGATGTCTTAATGCCCTTGCAGATACCTTTTACAGTTGCCAGCCGCCTTTTCACGAGTGGAAGTGACAAGTCCCAGGAGGTGGAAAAGCAGACCTGAGCATTCCGTCGGGGTGCTAAAAGGACTGGGGCCAGGAAATCGGGGCGGGGCCTAACAGAACAGAGACTCAGTGCTAAAGAGCGCATGTGGTGAGGGGAAGGTGGGGCGGAGCTAAAATGTAGGGAAGATGGGGGTTGGCTCCTTGTGCGGTGACGGAAGAGCCAGAGCGAGCAGGCACTGGTCAGTGATCGGGACCAGCAGAGGCGGGGCCAATGTGTGCAGAGGGCGGGGAAGGCTGGGATAGCAACCAAGATGGCTGGGAAAGAAGTTGAGCGAAGGAGTTGCAGGGGAGTCTAGTCAGTGGCTGGACGCTTGCCTGAAGGGGCGTGGCCAGCTCCTGGCCTACCCCTTCTCTGCCTCACCCCCTGGCGGCTCGTTTCCCAATGGGCGGGGCTGGCAGAAGCTGAGCAATTTTGCACTTGGAATGCTTACAGAGTTCGGGTTGGGTGCGCCAGGCTGGAAGAGGCGGCTTTTCTGGCGAACTTGAAGCCACCAGTGGTGGGGCTTGTTCACAGAGGAGAGGTACTTGGTGTGGGTGTGGCCGACGGACCGGAGGGGCTGCAAGAAGGCATTTGAATGGAGCGAAGTCCGAGAGCTAGATGGAGGCGGAGCCATGGCATTATGACCTAGTCGTGCGACCCCCGGCGGCTACTATTAATAGATAATGCTGCCTCTAACGATATCTGTTCCATGGTCCTCGGGAACCCCTATGGCTACAAGGACCCGGAGTTCCTGAGGCTCCTGGACCTCTTCAATGACAATTTCCGCTTGAATTCCAGATGGGGCGAGTTGAGAGGACTGGCCCCAATCCCTCCTGCTGAGCTCAAAACTATGCCAAATCCTGAATACTTAGACCCTAGAGTGGATCATTAGGATAGGACTTAGAATGTTGGAATGGGAAAGTTCTAGAACTTACATCAAGATCCTGTTGAGATCCTGTTCCCCCCAATGTACATTTCCCCTCCATCCTGAACTGGCTCCTGGGCCCACACCACCTAAACGTCGCGGAGCTTTGGATCTTCATCCGAGCCAATCCAGGAAACACAGCAGCCTGGGGAGCCCTGCAATTTGATTGCTTCCTAGATCAAATGGATAGGGTGCAGTCCCCTGCCATCCTAAATTCTGTCCATGCTGCCCATGAGGAGGCACCTAGCACCCCTCTCCTCTATCCATAGGAACAGAAAGACCAAGTCACTTCCAGAAGGAAAATTTGGTGATGACCACAGGTAACCATTTCTCCCGCAGCACGGAGACCACACACACCACCCTCATTCTCCAGTTCCCAGAGGTGGCATGTCTGCCAGCAGGAGCCCAAGTTGAGGGGACTGGGCTGTGGGGATGGCTCTCACTTTGTTGGCCCCAGCCAAGGTGCAGAGGGAAGCTGGACACCACAGTGGGTCAGGCACGCCTCCCAGGCCTGGAGGACCACCAGCGCCTGCCCTACACCAACACAGTGCTGCAGGAGACCCAGCGCTTCATCAGAGTGCTGCCCCTAGGACTGTCACATACCTTCGCCTGTGCAGCCACTTTCAGCCCAAGGTATCCACTGAGTCTGGGGATTGTGTGCAAAGCTCAGGAGCACCTAGTAACTGAGATCAGCAGGCATCAGCATGTGTGCAAGAAATAAGACCTCACCTTCCCCGTGGCTTCTATATGGTGTCTTGGATGGATGAAAGGCAACCTTACCATGTTCGTTAACACTTGCAAATCCTCCTAGAGTACCTTCCTGATTTTTCTGCCTGTGCCTGCACACAGGGACCCTATTCAAGGATCCATACTGCTTCAACACCCCTGGCCAACTTTCTGAAGGGCCAGTTCCTGGGGTACATGGGGTTCTCCCCTCGAATCTGTATCCCCAAGAAAGTGGATGTGCTTGGGTACAGGCCTGGCCTGACTGGAGATCTTCCTCTTCATCACTATCCCGCAGTGTTCTTCCTGCTTCTTGTAGGGAGCCCCACCAACACAGACCTCACCCCGCAGTGCACCGGCCTGGGCAATGTCCCCTTAGCTTTCCAGCTCTGCCTGGTGACCCGTTGAGGTTAGGCTCAGCCACCCTCTGCCCACCAATCTCAGCCCTCCTTATGTACTTTGTTTAATAAAGACCCTAAACTGTAGATGGAGGAATCTCTTTGCCAAATAGAGGGGGAAGGAGAATCAGATGTGTGCACCTCTGAGGTAAACTTATTTATTTCTTGGCTGACAGGACTTTCACACCCATGCTCCTCCCAGCACCTATTATCCTGCCCAAGCAGCGGCAGCCTAGTCATAAGGGTGCCATGGCCAAAGGGGTTGGGAGTCACTTCACATTCCAGGCTGGAGGAGTGGGGGGCTTGGGGATACTAACCCCCACAAACCTTTGCCAGCAAGAGGCCATGACTCACCTCAACCCCAAATCCTGCATGCTGGTGGGAGGTGGCAATGCCCCCTTCCAGCTCTCCACACCTGAGAGGAGCATGGCCAGACAAGGCATGACACAGACCCCCGGCTCCAGTAATGATAACCCCCAAGTCACAGCCCCAGCCCTCATAACAGGGCGGCACAGGTCTCTCCTCCTCCTCCTCAGTCCTCAGCAAATGAGGAAACCCTCCACACCAGGCAGGACAGAGGCAAAGTCGGAAGCAGCAGCGGTGGCAGGGAAGGAGCAGACACTGAGACTGGTGGGCTGCTGGCTGGGCAGCACCGGCCCAGGGCTCTCCCGAAGTCAGGGCAAGCTTTCTGTCCATGCAGCTCTGCGATGGCCACTAGGTGGGCGTAGCTGGCTGAGATACAGGTACTTGGACACCTTTCTGTCCTGATGCTGGTCGGGGGGAGAGGGACAGGAGACAGTGAGCCATCTGGGAAGGGACAAAGAGGCCACAGAAAAGCTGGGGTACTGGGAGAGTGGCTGTCTAGGGAAGGTGGTCAGAGGTGAGAAAAAGGGGGCAGAATTTAGTAAAAGACTGACAAGGTGGACGAGGTGACTCAAGGCCTGGTGAGGTCATGGAATAAGAAGGACTTGAGGGAGGGGACACTGTTTGGGAAGCAGGTACCTAGCTGATACTTGTCTTTGGCTGCTGCTCGCTCCTTGGCATCAAAATACCAGACGGTGATGGCGTACCTAGGAACCAGAGCAGTGCCAGAGGGCAGTAAGAAACCACTTTTCTCCAGTTCCAGCCACCATACCCACAGTAACATTAGAGTCCACCCTCCAAGCCTGATTCTGTTCCCACCTAGACCCCCCGCAGTACTGATCACGTCGTAGTCATTCGGGGGGAGCACCTGGGAATATCCCAGAAGTATGGGTCATACCTGGTAGCATAGGCTGGTTTCACCTCATGGGGGTTCCGCCGGTCAGACCAGAAAATGAGCAGCCGGTCAAAGAGTGGCTCGATGTTGGCTACCACAGGCCGGCCCTCAGGGAAGATCTGTAGCAGGCCACCATGCACCTGAGGGCAGACCAGAGGATGAGGCAGGAGGCTGGCACTGCCTGACCCCCAGCAGCCCACCAAAGGCATAGCAACAACACAGATCACTCTCCCACCACTCAGCCTCTTAAAAATAAATGACAGCCCAGAGTCTGTATCCCCATGGAGATGGGCAGGAAGCTACTAAAGAAGACAGGAAATGGAGGGGAGGGTTCATCAGACCAGGGGATGGGCAGACTGTGCCATTCCCAGCGAAGAGCCAGGGGACAGACTGCCCCATCCGACTGTGGGCTGAGAAGAACCAGAGAAGGCCAGAAGCTGAGCTGGAAGTGGAAAACGAAGTGGATGCACAACACCCCACCTCCACCCTCAACCCCACACCCTACCTTGATGTCCCAGTTCTGATTCAGGTAATAGATACACGTGATGCAGCGCCCATCACCGTGGGGATTGTCAACGTGCCTCACGTACCCCAGCCCGTTGCCTGGGTAACACGCCACCATGGCCTGGCAGAGACAGATGGAAGTGGTTTATTGGAGCTAGGCAGAGATATTTGGGGAAGCAGCCATTACCTCCTCTTTCCTATCCTCCCTGCCCCTCATCTCTGACTCCTCAGGTGTCCTAGGCTCAAAGGCTCGAGCTCCCAAACGTTCACCTTTTTTAGCCAAGCCTCCGCCCACTGGAAATCTCAGCTCCAGGGCCTTAACAGCCCTTCCCTCACCCCACCCCCCAGATGCTGGCCCTCAGGGAAGGGGCCCAAGGAGGAACTTCATGTTTCATTTTTTAAAGATAACCGACCCCACCTCAGACATTTCAGCAGAATAAAGCCAGTGTAAAGGCTGTCTGGTGTGCAGTGGTGTGGCCTCACAGTCCTACATCAGGGGTTCTTGCCCTTGGCTGCAGAGTGGAACCACCCGGTATGCTGACACCCAGGCTCACCTTAGAGGTTCTAGTGTACTTGGTCTAAGATGGAACCTGGATTTTTTTTAAATCACCTGAGGATGTGTTTATTGATGTTAGAAAGAGAGGAAGGGAGAAAGAAACATCAATGTGAGAGAGAAACATCAGGTGGTTGCCTCCTGTATGTGGCCAGACTGAGGATCGAACCGTCTACGTAGATATGTGCCCTGACTGGAGATCAAACCTTTTGCAGTACAGGATGATGCTCCAACCAACTAAGCCACCAGCCAGGGCTGGAGTCTGGAATTTATTTATATTTTTAATCTTCACCCAAGGACATGCTGAGCTACAATGGCCAGGAATTCAAGGAGCCTACAATTTTTAAAGGTTTCCAAGGTAATTCTAATGCACAGCAATGTTGAGAACTGCTGCCCCTGACTACAAAGAGTCTCTACAAAGAGAACATCTGAACAAGTTCCAAAACCTACAGTGTAACTAGAATCTGAGATCTAATCTCAACTCCAAGGATAGCCTGCTGGGTAGCCCTCAATAGTCCCTATCACCTGAAGAGTCCTCAACTATCTAGTCTATAAAATGGGGCCAATAATACCTGCTCTGTTTACAGCAGTGGCGTTAACCCCTCTGAGAGCCTAACTCTGGATGTGTTGCTCCTGACAACACAGATCTAATAGGACTCATTCAAGGTCTTGGCTTCTGTGTGCACAGGTCTAGCCACAAGGTTCTCGCCTCCTCTCCCTGATGGCTGCCACTGCCCTGGCCAGCCCCACCCATACCGACGCCTGGCCTAGCCACTCAGGGCCTGTCTTCTCATCAAGAACCTGACAAAAAGGTGGATGTGGTGTGAGGAAAAGGGCCCAGGTGTCCCTACAGACCTAACACCCAGATTCATTTCAGAGTAGCCACATGAGGGAAGGTGGGAAAATGACTTAACTTCCTGCCTCAGGTTCCTCACCCATGACATGGAGCTGACAGCTACTTCGCAGGTTGTTGTGGGAACTAAACAAGATATAAATGGAAAGGCACCCAGCATGGTGCCTGCCACATGATAGAAACCCAAATCACAGGTTGAAATAAAGAGTCCCAGTCCTACCCTCTGCCCAAAGCCACTGGATGAGACAAATAAGGAAACACTGACATGAGGGCCCTCAAACTACTATCCAGCTGGAGACCATCTGTCTTGACACCCGGACCCAGACGGAGGCCAGGCCACTGCTCCCCACTAACACTCATCTACATCTGTGGGGCACAGTCCGGCAAGATAACCATGAGATAAACATTACTGATCAAAAAGATCAGTGTCTCATGCCCAAATAGCTTGCTAAGCACCCCAAGGCAGGCCTGGTGGACTCAATCCCAACACGTCATTCCCGGGGCTCACCCCAGCATGGATGTAAACCACTCTGCCCTAAACATGCGCACCTGATCCACCACTGCACCTGCCCTAGGACTGAGGCCAGGAGAGCTGCCCCGGGGTGAGGCCGCCCGAGAGTGGAGAGCACTATTCTCCCCAGCGGCACCAGGGCACAGGTAGTGAGCAGCCCCCACACCACCAGGCTCGGAAAGAGCCCCTTCTTTGCACTGTTCATACCCTGCACATGGGTCAGCACTCTGAGCAAGCACCTCACCAGGAAGAAAGAACACACTGTGGCCCAAGTGGCCTGGAATCAGTGAGTCACTGATTAGGGATGGGCAAGGCCTCCCAGTTAGAGTGAGAGCAGAGACTTTGCTGGTTCGGCATGAGGAGGGTGGTGTGAGGGCCTAACGCTGGGACCGCTTCCCAACAACCCATCCCCACACACAGCAGTCGGAGGCCTTTTCTTCACCTCTTCATTATTCAAATCCCTTCCAGCACCCAATGCATCCCAGAAACATACAAAATACAAAGTCCTGATCACAGCCTCCAAGGTCACCAACTTCATCTCCTAGCCCCTTCACTCTGCTCCAGCCTTTGGGGCCTCGTGACTGTTCTCTGACCAGACCAAGCTCATTCCCAAGGCCTTTGCACAGGACTGGAACATTCTTCCCCCGTCTTTTGTTATTCCCGTCTCAGGTCAAGGGGCACCTTGAGTACTCTAGCTGAAGGTACCTGGGCTGCTTTTCCACTCCACCCCTCAGTGTGAAATCAACACAAGTGCTTGTTTACCTAGTAATGGCCCCACAAGCAGTCCCATGGAAGCCCCGAGGGCAGGCCTGTCTCCCTGTCGCCCAGGAGGTAACTGCTGACTCAAAGCACTCCTCTGGGCCTCTGGGCCTTTGGGCCTCCATCGCATTCTGCCCTGGGCACCGTGCAGCAGGGGTACCCTCTGGATACTGGTATGGAATAGGACTTGTACACAAAGGCTGGGCACAGAAGCAGCCCCTTTAAGGCCACGCCCTGCCCCCACATACACACACCATAGGGAGTGGAGGGTGGAAGCGTACTCTGGCCCCAGAGAAGCATCTACTTCCTCCCCCACAAGGGAAAAGCACAACAAGCAAAGTGACATGGAAACATGGAAACTTGTTCCTCACCCTTCCACCTCAGGGAAGGGACAGCTGGGACCAGAGCCAGCAAACTGAAGAGTTAAAGGCTATTGGTGACAGTGTGCCCAAAGCCACACACACACACACCCCTGAAGCTGGAGAATGAGCCAATGACAGCAGGCCCCATCCCCAAGCTACTCTTAAAGGGGCAAATCAAGCCTGCCAGGCCCTCTCAGAGGTCCCTAATGCGTGAAGGTCAACCCTCTCCCACCTATAGGCCAACTGAGCAAAGGGACCAGGGAAGAGGAAGAGCTCTACTCAGAACCACCAAGATAGAGCAGGCTGTTGCTGGCCCTAGTCATACAGGTGATCAATGTACTCAACAACACTATGGCCACCCACCCCAGCACCCCACACTATCTTGCTGCAGAGCCTGGGGAGGGAGCCTAGATGCAGCCCTTTGAAGGCAGAGAAACCTGGAGTTGCTGTCTCATTGGGGCAGGGGAAGGTCCGAGAAGAACTCCAGTGATTGGGTGGCTCCTCCCCTCCCTTCTCAGTCCAGCCTGGCTTACCTCCCAGGGCAACAGAGGTCACCAAGGGCTAAAAAAGTGCCCCCCTCAAATCCTAGCCAGGGCCCTATCCCCAACCACATCCAAGGCACCAAGGAGGACAAGATCTGCTCTTCAACCCTCTTCTTCCCTCCAAAATGCTACAGACTAGCTGGGGACTTAACCTGGTTTTCCTACCCTGTGGATGAGCAAAGGCTCAGAGAAGTGTCCTGCCCTGGGCCATTCAGCCTTTGTGGTCTACCTCCTGCAAGGATAGGAGATCCTGGGGTGAAGCTGCTGAGCACCCTGTGACCAGGGAAACTCCCACTAATCTCTCCTGCCCTTGCAGGCCAGCCCAGGGATGGGCCCCCTCTGGCTCTCCAGCTATCAAGTAACAGGAGGGAGAGGGAAGTAGGACAAGTTCCAGCTGGGGTGGGGAGGACACTGGTCCTGGCCCCAGGGGAGCCGTGGTCCACAAGCCAGCTCCAGCCTGCAAGGGACGCTGCACAGAGGCAGAACCCGAGATGCGATCTGAGAAAGCAGGGAAAGGATATCAGGAGCACAACCTCATGCCTGAAGGGCAGAACACAGCCAGTGCCATCAGCCCCGCATCAGTGGTGGTGTGCAGCAGGCGCTCACTACAGAGCTTTTCCCAAATGACACCAAGCCTTGGACTCCAGGCCAGGGCCCTCACACCCCTCAGTGAAGAGCACTATTGTGTCAGCAGGCTAGAAAGGCCCTATGGACCACTGTCCTATGTGGAGCTCCTGGACCAGGTTCTTAAACAAGCAGAGCAGCTAGAGGCCCAGGAAACTCTGACAAACTGCCATAAACTCTAATCAAATCAGTATTTTTCTTAAGAAAATAATATAAAATGGTAGATTTTCAGAAAAGCCCAGGGCCTTAAAAAAGATTAGTAACTACTACTTGAAAGAAAAAGGGACCAAGATGAGACACAAAGGGGTTCAAGGAACAGACCATAGTCAGACAGGAAGGATGGAGAACAGAGACTAGGATGGGGAGGAATTCGAAAGATGCGGACATGACCTCCACCCCAGTCAGCAGACAGCCACCCAGTGCCACCCCCAGGAAGCTGCCCTTGATGCAGATGCCATAGTACGGCACACAGAGCACAATGCAGACCAGCACCAGGAGCCGCAGGCAGCACCTCCTCCCTCAGCCTGGCACTGGCCTCACTACTGCCACCCTCCCCCTCCTGCCTAGGAGACAACAGACAGACCAGAAACAGACAGGGGACAGGACAAACTAGATAGACAGGCCAGCAGATAGGAAGGGATGAAAGGATGGGGCAACAGGGACGGATGAAGGCAGGGACAGACAGGTGCGCACAGACACACAGAGGCAGAAACGTGTGCCTATCTACATAGACCCTTCTTGGTCTGGGGCCCATAAACAGACATCAGGAGGCTGTGAACCCCAACATGGCCCACGCACAGATATGGGGCTATGAACGTCAGCACCTCTCCTCGGGTTCTTCAAGAGGATCCCTGGAGATCAAGGAGCACTGTGGCTACAGGCCAAACCCCTGGTATATAGGTGCACAAGCTATGGCCCACAGAAAGAAAACACACAGAGCCCCAGAGTCTCCACAGGGAGTGAGAGCCCAAAGCAAATTCCATCATTCCCTCCACCAGAGCTGCCTAAATCCTTCTGTGACCCCAGAAGCATCTCCAAACCCACTGGTGCTAAGACCAAAAGGCATCCAACAAATGCGCGCTGGGCAGCCTTACCTTGGTGCGCCCGTTGATGACGTAGCCGCCCAGCCGCCCAGCGCAGTGCCGGATCACAGTGTCCACATGGGCCATGAGGGCCCCGATGCTTCGGCAGCCTGGCTCATGGCCTTCCACCCAGGCAATCTGGTCCCCACGGATGCTGCGTGGCGGGATAGCCCGCTGGCTCACTAGCTGCCCATCACGCAGGCGCCCGCCCCGCTTCAGGGCCTCTACCTCAGCCAACACACGGCTGCCCAGTGCTGCCCCCAGAAAGTTGTCCTTGACACAGATGCCATAGTACCGCATGCAGGGCACAATATAGTCCAGGGCCAGGCGCTCGGGTGCAGCAGGCAGCTCCTCCTCCCTCAGTCCAACACTGGTCTCACCACGGCCACTGCTGCAGCCTATGCCGCCCTCCCCCTCTTCCTCTGTTTCCTGGTTCTCCTGCCTGGCCCAGGGACGCTTGCTGGGTGCAGGCGCATCCCCACCATCCTCTGCCCATTTCCTCTTGGGGGCCTCAGGCCGAGCGCCCTGAGCTGCCAGTCGCTGGCACCCCTTGGTGACCAATGCCGCAGCACCCTCGCTCTGCAGTGGCCGCAGCTCGCCACCATCCTGCCCACCAAAGCCTTCTGGCAGGGGGCTGGTTGTGGTGGAAGTGGCTGTGGCTCTGGGGATCCCACTCCCTGCCGAGGCCTCAGCAGGTGCTCCTGGACGATGGTAGGAGGGTAGCAGGGGACATGGCAGGTACCTCTCCACCCCCATCCTGGACCGGCCAAGCTCCAAGGGCTCTGACACAGAATTCGGCAACTGAGGGAGAGCCTGACTCAGGGTCTGTGGCTGGCACGGGCTGTCCATGGCAGCAGCGTCTTCATCCCCCGAGCATGGAGGGCACGGCCCAGGCCCATGGTGCCACCCTCCTGCACTGCCTCCTCCTCCTCCACTTGATGCAGCCGGGGGCCAGGGCGGCCGGGCCGGGTGTGGGGCAGGGTGAGGCAGGGCAGGTGGCAGAGGCTCTTCTTGTGCCCCGGGGGTTGCTCGCTGGTCCCCAAGTCCTCTGCTGTCCCTAGGGGCTTGGGAAAGGACCTGTCAGGATGCCTGGAGGAAGAGAGAAAAAAAAGGGGATGTGCGAGGAGCTAGAGGCAAGCTGGCTGGTGGGAAGGGTGAGGAGTGGAAGGGCAGTAGAAAAGCAGACAAACTTGGCTTCTAAGACCCTAAAACCTGAGCCAACTTGGGGAGAGAAGACCCTGGGAATTCTGGGGGAAATCACTGACAGACAAGAGTCAGTGAGAGGAACAGATGGAGGAGTAAGGCTGAGATGACCCAAGACAGAACACTACGGTGGGGGCTGGAGAAGAGATCATCCTCAGACTGAGACAGACAAACAGAAAAGAGGGAGGGGCCTGAAGTAAAAAAGAAACGGCGAAGGAGTGGGGAGCAGAGGTGAATAGGGGTGATTTTCCTGGGGGTTCCAGAGAAGCAGGAGAGGAGGTGGGGGTGCACAGAGGAAACTGGGGAGTTCAGAGACAAAGAGAACAGGAGGGGTTGTGGAGGTGGGGTGGGAACAGAGACAGAAAAACAAATCGGAGAAAATCTGGGAGGGAGGGCCTGAGATGGTCCCGGGGTGGCGAGGTCGACTCTACCCCAACGAAAGGAAGCCTGTTGGGGGCTGACACACACCCAGACGGAAGGAAGGTCCTGAGACAGACAGACGGACGGAAGGGAGTCGCGGGAGGAGGGTGCACAGAGACAGAAAAGGCGGAGATGGGTTCACGCACTCGGGGAAAGGACTAGGGAAAAAAGCACCCCCCTCCCAACTCCTTTCGGCATGGGCACTAAGGCCCCGTCAGGACGCAGCGGGCGATGGAGGCAGGACCTAGGGGCCGCTAAGACCCCTGTCCCTCCCCTCCCCCTCCGCCAGGCCTGCGCTCCCCGCTGCCACCTCAACCCTCGCTAAAGCCGACACTCGAAGTGCCCTCGCGTGATCCCTCCCCCACGCCCCACCCCCATTCCCCCCTCCCCAGTGTCTCCAAACTCCGCAACTGCCAGCCCAGCGCGCGCCCCCACACCCTGGCCGGAACGCGCCGGCATCCTGACTCGAACACCTTCTCAATCCTGCTCCCTTCCCTTCCCGACCTCTCCTCACCGAGCTTTTTCCTCCGACCCCGGCGCCGCCGTTTGTGCCAGCCGCCCTGCGCCGCACAGCGCGCCATACCCCGCCCCCACCATCCGTGGTGCTCCGCCCCCGCCTCTCCCGGTGGGTACGTGACCGCGCCCGAGCGGAGGACACAGTGCGCAGGCGCCAGCGGGGCGGGGCGAGGACATTCAGAACAGTCCCAATTGAAAAAGGGGGGGTGGGACTGCAGACACAAGGCTCATTTGCATTCTACGCTCTGCCCTTTTTCCTCGCGAGGGAACACAGTAAAGAAACGGCTGAATCAGGGAAAGGGAGTTGTGCAAACGTTATGCAGACGACATGGGAGGGGTATGCAAATAAGGCTATTTACATGGACAAGCCCATCCCCTCACAGTGAGAACGCTGTGGAATGAGTAGCCGGATTGGGGTGTGGCCTGCATATTATTGGTGTAATTTACATGGAAAGCTCCGCCTTCTCGCAGATCAAAAATAGGAATGAGATATTGAGAAATGTCAGCACAGGTAGTTGAGAAATGTATGTAAATTAACACATCAATGATAATTTACACAAGGCATTTATATAACGGAGGGAAAACGTGAGAAGCATCATTGAGAGGAGGGAGAGTGCATTGAAAGGGATGTACAGATATATCATAAGCCACTCCTTCCCTGCCCCTTGAGACAATTGTGGGAGTCAAAATAAAGCAACCTAGGAAAGCTATTGCACAGAAGATATTTGCAGGATAGCCTCATGTCTTTTAAGCACCAAATTCTAGTCCTTCCTACTAGAAGTGGAAGGACTGTGCTGATGAGGTCATTTAAATGCCCCGCCTCCTCCACTTCAACCTAGGCTGAGCAGAGACTCAGGCCTCTTGGGTGTGGGTTAAAGCTGACTTGGGGGTGACAGAGCAGTTGGGAGTGTCTGGAGGGGACCTCACATGTCCTCAGCAGAGCATTTGGTGTGTGCGGTTCACCTACACAAAGATAACATGCCAGACTCCAGTATGCACGAGAGTCCAGGTTGCACAAAGGCCCACACAGTGCTGAGGGACACACACACAGAAAGGGTTCATGGTCACCCACAGGTGTATCAAAGGAGCCAAATTTACATCAAAACACCGAGACCTCAGGTGCACACATGCATACTCACACACACAAGTCAGACACTGCCTGGGATGTTCAGACATTAGACCTGCATAAGTATTACACACAGGCCTGAATTCTTATTCATGTTGTTTGGTGTCCCAAGCAACACCAGCCTCATGAATACAATCACTGAAAACACAGTCATCACAAACAACAGTGTTATACACACAAACAACACACATGCCTACAGATACCATTAATCATGGCACAAACACAGGGACATCCATGATACACATGCAGGTCTGCAGCGCACACAATCACAAAATGTGTACACAATGACAGACTCCCTCTACAACAGGCACCTGAGTCACAGAGTCAGCGTGTACCTCCACACCATGTCCTACCCAGAAACATGGCTCAGAACATCAGGACCCTTGATATTCTTCTATCAGGAACCTCTTCTGCCTCCCCTCCCTTCTGGCCACCCCAACATGATGGAGGCCAAGACACAGGTATAAACAATGCTTTATGGGGGTGGGGTGGGGGGGACAGGCCTCCAGGTAATAAATAACTTGTACTCACAATGGCAGGGCCAGGGGAGCTGGGGCCAAATGGCCTTGGTCTCAGGCTTTGGGAACTCTTTGAGAATGGTTAGGAGTTCAGGGAGGACAGGGGGTAGCCAAGACAGAGGAAGCAGCAGCAGGTACGGATTCCCCCTTCCCCTGTGGCTCAGTCTTGCCCCTCAGCCAGGCCCCACCAGGCAAGGGAAAGAGGAGAGGTGTCCGGGCAGCTTCTGTGGGGCTAGGGCAGGTGAGGGGCTCAGCCTCCAAGGGCCTGGGTCTGGACCCCAGCTGGAAGGACAGGGCTGGTCCTGGAGAACAGGTGAGCTGAAAGAGAAGTGTAACGTGAACTGGATATATCCTGGCTCTGTCCAGCCTGTGTATCTGTCTCAGTTCTGGGTAGCCTTCTGCCCTCCTATCTGTGCCTGTCTCTCCATACCTTTCTTTTTCCCCGAGTTTTTACATTATCTGTCTATCTTTCTATTTCTTATCTGCATGGAATTCGTGGCACTCTCTCTTGAGGGTTTCTCCCTGATTGTTTCCCTCAGAGAGCTGTGTCCTTGAGTCTGTCTCCTTGTGTCTAAATATCATATCTCCACATTTGTATCTCTGTGTCCTTCTACAGTCCTGGATCACACTGGGTCCAAGTTTCATCCCAGGGTTTTTCAAACTCAGGAGACACATTGTTAGTGGTTCTTCTTTGCTGCAGATAGCATTACCTGGGAGCTTCCAGAAATCCTGAAATCACTTCAGAATCTCTGGGGTGAGGCCCAGGCTTCAGCAGCTTTTAAAGCTTTCCAGGTGATTCCAATGTGCAGCACTGAATTAGTGGGGTAGGAAATCAGTTTGATGGGCCTTGACCAATGTTTTATTGAAAAAGAATAAAATGGAATACAAAGAAAATAATCAGAGTGCATCATATGTAATAATACTAGTCCACAGAAATAGAAAGCAGATGAGCAGGTGCCAAAGGCTGGGGGAAATAGGAGTGACTGCTTAACAGGTGTGAGGTTTCCTTTTGAGGCAATGAAATGTTCTGGAACTATACAGAGGTGATGGTTGTACAATCTTGTGAAAATACTAAATGCCAATGAATGATACACTTTAGATACACTTTAAAATGTCCATATTTATGTTATGTGAATATTGCCCCAATTTTTTAAAAGAATATTAGTGCTAGGAAAACATGTGTATTGGTTTTATATGTGTGTGACTATGAGATTAACGCATATTTCCTCCTGCAGGTGGCAGTCAACAAAGTTTGAAAAAGCATCATCTTATATTTGATTCCCTGAGGGCAAACCCTGAAACAGACCCTGTGCTAAGCCCTGGAGTTGAAGAGAATACACTCATCCATTTCTGCACAGCCAGAGTCTTTAAATAGACAAAAAGAATAAAAATAATAAACAGCCCTTGTTTATGAGTCTTTACCAGTGTCAGTCCCTGTTCTAAGCACTTTACATGAATTAACTATTTCTCTTCTCTCAACAGCCACAGAAGGCAGGTACTGTTACTGAGGAAACCAAGGCCCAGCAAGGTTAAATGATTTGCCCAGAGTCACCTAGCTACAAGTGACAGGGTTGGAGTTTAAATGCAGACAGTCTGACTCTGGACTCTGTGATCTGTCACCTCCTTTCCTTCTCAGAGGGGTAAGACAAACACTGTACAAATAATAAGTTGTGAGAACACAAAGAGGTGGGTCTCGCAAGAGGGAGTGACCCCATTTGGGATAAAAGTTCTTGCAGGAGTCATATTAGCAGAGGCCAGATGATGAGTAGGAGTTGGTGTAAGAAAGGAGGCAGGAGGCCAGGTGCACCCAGTGGAAGCATAGCAGATGGAAAAGCATGGAAGTGAAAAAGAGCACTGCCCAAAGAACTCACCCTGGACTCCTCTCTCTCAAATTCCATGTTCATTCATCAGGAAATCATGTTGGCCCTGCCTTCAAAGCATATTCCAGTATAACCCCTTTTCCCCACAGCCACTCTGGAGCTGCCAGTGGCTGTGAAGGGAAGTGGACATGAAGCACAGAGGGGAGAACTGGGAAGATATTCACACCCCAGAGAGGTAAGGACGGGACCAAATCCTGTAGGATCTTGCAAGCCTGTCAAAAAGTTTGAAACAAACAAAGGGCTCTGAAGAGAGGGGAGGAGGTTAGCAGGAAAGAGAGGGAAGGAATGGTGTTCCTGGCAGAGGGAACGGAATGAGCAAAGACCCAGAGAAACAGAAAGAGCTTCACTGTGGCTGCAGTGGCCTGAGAGGTGGGGAGAGATACAAGTCGAGGCAGGTGAGGGAGGAAGGGGCCAGCCCTACAGAGTCAAATATCAGGCTGAGGAGGCTCAGCTGTGTCCCATGGACCCTGGGAGCCATGAACAGTTTTAAGTAGGGGAGGGACAGGATGGAATGTGCTTTAGAAAGGCCTAGTGGCTACATCAAGAAGGGACAAGACAGGCCAAAGAGAATAGGGAGGATACAGAACTTATCAACATCTCAACACTTCCTCTGCCCCCACCATAGTCCTGTCCACCATTGTCTCTCACCTTGACTTTGCAGTAGCCTCCTCTCTGGTCTCCTAGCAACCACCTCTGACCCCCACAGTACCCCGCTACATGCAGTCAGAGGGACCCTATGAACACCTGAATCAGATCCTGTGGCTCCCATCCCACCCAGTGTTTAAGCCAGAGTCCTCCCTGTGGTCCAAAAGGCCATAACTAATCAGCCTGCCTCCACTTCTGACCTCATCTCCTGCTGTACCACCCACTCGACACACACACTCTACTCCACTCATGTTAGCCTCCTTAGTCTTCCTCACCCATTCGAGGCATGACCCTGCCTCAGGGCCTTTGCATTGGCTGTTCATTCTGCCTAGAACACTCTTCCCCAGGCCCTCATATGACCCCCTCCCTTACCTCTTTTGAGTCTTTGTTCAAATGTCACCTTATCAGTGAGGCCTTGCCTCATCATCCTGTTCAAAATTCCATTCCTCCACCTCCCACCCCTCCTTGCCCTCCAAAGCTTTTGTCTCCCTAACAACTATGTAATTTCTTATGTATTTGTCTGTCTCCTCCATGAAGGCAGGTACTTTTGTCTGTTTCACTAGTGACTTGAACAGAGCCTGGCACACAGTAGATGCTCAATAAATATTTGATACATTATGAATGGGAGGATCAGAGATCCAGGACAGAGAGCTAGCTACGGAATGGAAAGGACTTCCCTGTGGCTTTAACTCAAGTATTTTTGCAATTTTCTGTCTCCCTGTTTCTCTTGTCATCTTTCCTTTTCTGTCTCTGTCTCTGCTCCACATTCCCCCTTGCCAGGAGACCACCCCTGCAGTCCCTGAGTCCCCAGTATCCCACCTGGCTCCACAGGTATCAGCAGCCACAGGGCTGAGGGGCCACAGCCTGAGCACTCCGCGGCTGCCGCAGCTGGCGAAGGGAAGCATCACCGTACTGAATGCCTGAGCCCATCCTCTCAGGGTCGAGCTCACCTAGGTGAGAGGGGAGAGGTCAGGACTGGCCTCTTGGAAACCTCTAGCTCCTGCCTTCCATTCCCACTCTGGTCAGTCAGGCCTCACCTGAGTCAATCTTGTTCAGGATAGTGCGGGCACACTTCAGGAAAGCCTCTTCCACGTTCTCCCCTGTGAGAGCGCTAGTTTCCAGGAACATTAGCTCTGGGGGCAGATACTCAGAAGGTCAGGGCCTCAGAATGTCTCCATTCTCCTCTCCAACCATAACCTGCTGCCTCTCACTCTGTTCCTCAAATGTGCCACCTTTGCCTTTATTCCCTGCCTTTGTACGCACCATTCCTCTGCCATGAATGCCCTTCTCCCCACCTAACTCTTCCTTCATAGCTCCACTTATACATCTTCTCCTCCAGAAAGTCCTCCTTGACCTCTCAGAATAGGTCAGGTGCCTCCTCAGGGCTCCCATGGGCCCCTGTGTCTCCCCTCCACTGTGTCCTGACCCCTCTGGGCTGTCACTGTCTGGAAATGGGCCTGCCCACCTATTCCCCACTAGACTGAGATCTGGGCCCAAGCCTATCTTCATCGCTGTGCCCTCAGCACCAACTAGCAAGGCATAGGTCCACCAAAGTCCACCTATCAGTCATGTGACAAGGCCTCAGAGTAAGTTAAAAGCCAGGATCAAAACCTACATCTTTCTGAGGGCAAAACCTCCTCTAAACCTGGAGGTTGCAAACGAAGAACGTGGACAAAGCCTACATGGGCAGACATCTGGCCAACAAGACATTTTCAAATGGGTTTGTACTTGCATACCTTTTAACATGAGTGTGAGTCTTGTCCACTCCCCTAATGCCAGTGCCTGCTAACCTGAGGTCAACCCCATCCTATCTCCCTTATTCACAAAACATGCCTGTCCCTTAGGGCCATTAGAATTTGCAGTCTCTACCTTAACACCAATACCTTGCACCTCACCACAGTGGTTGAAACCTTAGCAGCCATCACTATCAAGTACCTGCTCCATCCAAATGGTGCTGAAGGCTTTCCATGAACCATGTCCCTCACCCATCACGCAGGATGAGAGACAGAAACACTGTGAGCCCCACTTTCTAGATGGGGAAACTGAGGACCAGAGCAGTCACATGGTACGCATTTGAATGCACACCTCTAAATGTCCACATTCCCCTGCTGGGCACAGCCATAGAGAGCCAGGAGGTCCATGGACCCAGTGGATTGCCCTCCGTCCCTGCAAGCCCACCATATGGCTCTCACCATTCTCCTGGGCAAAGCGGGAGGCTTCCAGGAAAGTGACCTCACGCTCAGGGTCCAGGTCCTTCTTGTTGCCACAAAGGATGACCACAATGTTGGGGCTGGCCAGTGTGCGGGCATCAGTCAGCCAGGCAGCCAGTGAGTTGTAAGTCTCCCGGCTGTGGAGAAGGGAAAAAGAGGGAGATGGGCACAGGAGTGGGGCTGCCCTGGCCCCACCCCACCCCACCCCACCCCACCCCTTTCATACACCCACCTGGTAATGTCATACACCAGCAGGGCTCCAGCTGCCCCTCGGTAGTAACTCCGTGTCACTGACCTGTGGGGCCAGGAGGACCCAGTCACCCCGGAGGCTGGGGTCTGTCCCAAGACTGCCCCCCTCTGCGGAGAGAGACTGGTGGTTCCAAGGCCCCCTTTCACTGCTGGCCCATCCCTCCAAACCTGGCATGGTCTGATCTCACTACAGTGCCTCTCTATCTCACAGTCTGTCTCCCTCAATCTCCATCTCACCTAGTTCTCTGTTTGCCTCTGAGTCTCTCCCTATCTTTGACTCTCTCTGTGTACCTGCTTTCTGTACTTCTTTACTGGTGTGTATGTGTCTTTAAATCTCTATTTCTCTGTCTGACTCTGGCTCTCTCATGCTCACTCTCGTTTTCCCAACCATTCATTCATTCATTCATTCAACATTTTTGGTCATCTCCTCTTTGCCCAGTCCTGGCCAGATGCTATGCAACTACATCTGCTTGTCCCTCTCCTGCTGTGTGGTCCTTTCCCAGTGTGGCCAACTGTTTGCATCTCCCTGTGTCACCATCCCGGGTCCCTCTGGAACTCATGCAATCATTCCATAAGCATTTAGTGAGCACTTACTGCAAACCCAGTTCATGTCAAACACCTGTCCTTCCTTTGCCCTCTCCCTGTCTTTGGCCTCTATGCACCTCACATAGTGAACTAACACATGACTATTAACTTAGCAGCTCTTCTTCATGGTTATATTCCCTTATTCTTCTCTATCTGTTGCTCAGACTCAGGGTTTCTATGTGTCTATCACCTTTTCCCCAGACATTTCCTGAGACATTCTGTGCACTGAGCCCTACTCTTTTCTCTCCCCTGCCCACCAACACAGAAAGATTTCTCCATCTCTCTGCTACATCTGTTCACTTCTCCGTCTCTGTCTCTGTCCTCTGTTTCCTTGCCTCCTTTTGCTTTATCTTCTTCTCTCAGTCTTTGTCTCTCCTTCTTTTTCATGTGTTCCATGCTCTTAGTCACTCTCTTTCCATCTCTACATTCTCATGCCCACCCCAAGTGTGTCTTTCTCTTCATACATGGTCTCTCTCCCTGGGCACAAGTCTCCCTCCATCCCTCCAGCCATGTGGCTCTAACTACCATAGACTCTCTGTGGCCTGTTAGTCTCTTTCTGGCTCTCTCACTCTTCATTATGCTTCTTTCTCCGTCTCTTTTCCTCTTTCTATCTCTGTCATACTCTCTCCAGGACTCCTTCTTTCTTTGGATATAAGTGCCTGCTACTCAGTTTCTGTCTCTCTCCCTCTGCCTTGCCTGCTCTCTGTGTCTCCTTGCTCCCACTGTTCAGTCCCCAAGTGTCTCTGCACACCTCTCTCTCCCATTTTCTCTCCTCTTTCCTCCCTCCCCCAATCCTCTCTCTCCTTGAAAGCCCAACCCACTTACCGAAACCGCTCCTGGCCAGCCGTGTCCCAAATCTGTAGTTTCACAGTCTTCCCTCCCACATTGACTACCCGAGATCCGAATTCCACACCGATTGTGTGGTTGGAGTCCTGTTTGACTGGGAGTGGGAGGGCAAAAAGAGGCAGTATAGAGGCTCAGAGGATTCCCTGTCCTCCAAGGCCTCCTCACCATATACAACCCCATTCTCATTGCTGGGGTGACTGAGGCTTAAGGAGGATCTGACATAGAGCATATACCATGGCAAGGACCAGACAGCCAGCACTGAAGTTGTACCTGCAGCCAGCCCTGCCCCTGCCCACCCCAACCACTGCCCACTTGCCCACACCATGCCCATGCCCACTGTTCAGTGCTCCCAGGATCACTCCCAGACACTCACATTTATTCTCAATGAACTGATGAAGAAGACATGATTTGCCAGTTCCTGCACTGCCAATCACCAGGAATTTGAAGAGGAAGTCTGAGCAAATGGAGCCAAAATCAGGAAAACCCAGGCAAAGAGAAAGATACAAGAGAAAATACAGAAACCAAGAGGCCATCAGAATTACAGGGAGAGAAACAGACGCCAGCAGAAACAAAGCAGTACATAACAAACAGCAACAGATAATTCTTATATAATGCTTACAATTTACCAGCCATAGTTCTAAAGTTCTTTACCTATATCAATAGGTCACTTAATCCTCAGGAAAACTCTATGAGGGAGATGCACCGATTATTATCCTCATTTTCCAGATGAGGAAACTGAGGCCAGAAAAGTTAACTGACTTGCCCAAGGCCCCACAGCTAGGCAGAGCTGGAATTCAAACCCAGGCCAACTGATTAGAGTCCAAGATCTTAGCCATTACATTGCTAAGGCCTCTTTTATCGAGGACTACAAGGAGGGTAAATGCAGACAACTGTAATTGAACAATAATTTTTTTAAAGGACTACAATCTTGCCCTTGCTCCTCACAGCTTCACCTCCTACCACTCTCTGACTTATTTACTCCACTCTAGCCTCTGGCTTTCAGTCTATTCCCTGAAGATGACAAGCTAGTTCCCACCTCAGGGTCTTTGCATTTGTTCCCTATGCTTTTCTCTATTTTCTGAATGAACGTAGCTCCCTCTGACTGCTAAACCAGTGCTCTTTCTACCGCACCCTGTCCTCCCACCTCCTATCCATCCATCGTGATTTTCCAATTCTAAATCCCTCCTTCCCCTCCCTCTATCCAAGGTCCCTTTCCAATTCTCAAGCTTAAGTCCCACCCTCTAATTCAAGGACAACTGACCCCCAACCCTATTTCAGACCTCTCAACCATAGCACTCCCAGAGCCCAGATCATCCCTTCAGGCATCTCTCAGCCCATAAAATTCCAGTCCTGCCATTCAGTCAGCTCCGCCCCGTCCACGCAGGCTCCGCCCCGACATATTAAGGCCCACCCTCTTCCTCACTGCCTATCCTGGTCCATCATGACTGACTCCTTCAAATCCCGCCCCAAACTATTAAACCCACGACCAGATCCTAAGTCTCCGCCAAAATCGATTAAGTTTAGCATCAGATCCACTAAGCCCCTCCCAGCATCCACCAGGCCCTACCCCATAATACCAGACCCCGCCCCCTAGCATAAAGTCCCGCCCCATTTCCACAGGCCGCATCCTTCCTGGGCCCAGACACCAGACTCCGCACCCCAGCTTCGGCCCACCACCCTCACCATATGTTTCGGCCATGACTCGGTCGCGGCCGCTTAGGGCCGCAATATGGCGCCGCAGCCAAGCCTGCTCCTCAGTTAGCAGCCGCTCCACTCCGGCTGCAGCCCCGGCTCCTTCCTACTCCCGGGGCCCGGGCCGCCACTTCCGCCTCCACCCGTCCCTGGCACTACCCGCTAGGCCTGCGGGATACCCGGCCACGCTCCGCAAAGGCAGGGATTGGTGGACTTGGCGGCCAGGGGGTGGGACAAAAGGCACAGATTGGCGGTGTGAGGGAACCAGCCGAAAGGGGCGGGACTAATGTGAGTGACTGGCGGAGCAAGTGGGAAGGGGCGGTGCAGAGACGCTTAGCGGAGCAGAGAAACGGATTTGGTCAAGAGTCCGGGGACAGAATGGACACTCCGCATTGGGTAGTAGCGAACCTGGGGGCGGACATACAGATGCAAAGAAAGGAGGTATGTGCAGAATTGATGAAGAGCCTAGCGAGTGCGATTTCTGACCTCAAAGGCAGGACGGATGAAAATTGGTATGATACGCTCAGTTTAACAACCTCCCACCTCCCTTTGCAGATAATCTTCCAAGAAAATTTTTGCTCCGTGATTTGTCTTCCTCATGATCCGATTAGCTTATTCCCAATAGTTCCACTGTCTTCCTTTGGTCTTCTAAACATCACAATCCCCTACTGTGCTGTTCAGATTATTGCATCTTCCCAATTCGCTTGTGTGCGATATCTAAATTTAGGAGCCCACCTCTGGAACCCAGGTTAGCAGAAGGCTTTTAGTCAGTGAAATTCTGCCTAGCAACCATTGACGTTTTTGCCATCTGTGGGTTGATTGGGTAGATTCAGGAACCCGGGGACCCATTTCCTTTATAGATCCCTACCACAAAGACCACAGAGACTTGCAGTTTGCATTTGGCTGATGTATTTGCATAAAGCTGGGGGAAAAAAACAGCAGGGACAGCGTTAGGCGGAGCTCACTGACAGTAGAAATCCCATTTCTGGAAAAGAGAAAGGAAAAACAGTGGGGACAAAACCAGCGGTCACACCACAAAGGACCTAGTTGGCTTTAGCAAAGACTGCAGCTGCAAGGACCAGGTTTGGCCACATTAACGCTATGCAAAATAGCTCAGAACCCTCTAATCTTACACCTCTCAACTGCAGCAAAACTTAGAAACCACATCCCATTTTGCAGATGAGAAAACTGAGGCAGAGAACTTGTCCCAGTGCACACAGCTAGACTGCCAGGGAGCCAAGGGTAGGAGCCTCTTTGCCCCTCACCGAACCCAGGGGTCCTCCCTCCACATCCCTGCCACCCGCCCCCTCCCCTCGGCACACTCACATCTGTCTTCACATCGATTTTGCCAGGTTTCAGGATCTGGTCCTCCCGTACAATGCTACCGGGGAAAAAGCCCAGGCGAGCAGCCAGGTCTCCATAGTAATCTCCCTGAACCTAGGGGGGAAAGAGTTAAAAGCCAGGGTCTCAGAAGATAGCAAGCTCCTGCCTGCCTCAGACCTCTAAACTAGCTCTTCTCCTTGATCTCCACAAGTCTGGCTCATCCTTGTCAATTACATCTCAGCTTAACATTACTTGTTCTGAGGCCTCTCTGACTGCCTGATGTAGTCAGTCACCCAGTCACGCTACATTAATTTTCAAAGATACCACATTTGCTGATATCTTTGATGGCTTCTCTTCTTCCATTAGAATAAAAGGGATTATTCAATGGTGTATCTTTGGTGTCTAAAACGGAACTGGGTACCATAGGAGGTGCCCTATAATTATTGCTAAACAGAATGAAAACATCACAATAGCACCCCAAACTCTACTTCAGTTCACCCTAATTTTCCCTTTAGGTGGAAAATTAGGGTGTACTCCCACCCTACCCCATACCCTTTCCTCTTCTGTTCTCCCAAGACTCACACTGCCTCCCCAGAAGAGCCGACCCCGGCCCTTCAGCTTGGAAAAGACATACACAACTTGGCCCCTGTGTATGGTCAGGAAACGGCAGTCAGGGGCCACGTAGTCCTGAAGGGCCACAGCCATGGAGATGGGGTCTGGAGAAGAATAGACAGGAATGACAGCATCTCCACACAGGCTGGCAGCCCAAGCCCCCAGCCCCCCCAGGCCCCAACTCTTACGGCTGCATTCCTCATCAGCACACAGCTTCCGGTCAGCAAGCTTGGGCATGGGGCGGCCCCCAATACTAGGTCCTAGTAAGGCAGACAGCAAGATGATACCGAGGAACACCCTGGACCAAGTCATCATGGACTATGAGCAAGAGTAACTAAGACAGAAATGGGGTCTCCAATTTCCTTCTGCCCTCCCTCTCTCCAGCAATACAAGGAAACCTGTGTTCTCGGTCTTGTCCCCGCCCTAAACCAGTCCCATATTTTGCCCACACCACATAGAGGTTGCTACCCAGCCTGAACCATTTCAAGGACAGGGTGAGGGCTGCCCACCCAAGGAAATGCCCAGATAGAACCAAAGCTGCTCAGGCCACTCCAAGTGACCACTACCCCCTCAAGAATTAGTGAGGCCCAGACAGGCAGGCTGATGATATTCAATTCCATCTTCTCGGTTACCTGGGTTGGTATTTCCTATGCTGAGGGACAGAACAGGCAGCCCTTTGAATGCCAGGAATAGCCCCAGCTCTCAAGTACTGAGTGAATGTTATGTTGGACCTCAGGCTAGGTGATACCCTGCCATGACTATTTATCCTCACCAGCCACTTCCTGACTGAGTGACCTAGGCTAAGCTATATTCTCCTCTTGGAGCCTCATCTTTCTCATCTGTAAAGTAGGGATAATAAAAGCTAATCATTATTTATAGTCATCATTTTTATTATGTATTTTTATTTTACTAACTCAAAGGAATACTTTGCATCACTTCAAGAGGGGCTATCATAACCCCATTTTATGTGGAAATGGAAGGAGAGCCTTAAGGAAGTTGTACAAGGTTACAGAGCCAGAAGTGGAGCAGCTAGATTTGGTTCCAGGCCCACACTGAGCTCGGAGTTCAGTTGCCCAAGGTCAGAATGAGAAAGTGGAGGGTTTGAATTCAAGTCTCACCTCTAAAACTGCTTCAAAGAGAGCACCACATGCTGAGATCCTTCTCCTGAGCATCCACCTCTTTTTCCAGGCATTCTTTGCCTCTAGGACAGCAAGTCCAAATTTTTTTAGTGGGGGAGAGAATGAACACACACAGGTTTTGGGAGGGGAAGAACTCATAAAGGGGCATATAAGCCATCTCTGCATACCCACACTCAGCACCAAGTACCATGAGAATATTAAACAGCTCTACTCAAATGTTAATTCCTCTGAAGGGTCTTTCTGGATCACCCAGTCCGTTGCCCAGCCTTACCCTCTCATCACTCCACAGAATCAGTTTTGATTCTATCAGAACACAGTGTTTAAAACTAGCTTGTCTATTCACTACTGCATATCCTATGCAAGAACAATATTTAGCATATAAAAGGTACTCAGCAAGTATCTGTTGAATTTACTGAGTGCCTGCTAAGTGCCTCGCAGTGCAGGTGTATGCAGGGAGGAGTGACAGTACAAACAAGACCATAGTACTAACATAGATTTTTCTTTACACAGGGAAAAAGACTCTTGAGTAGGTGGGGGAACAGCTAGGGAGCCCCCTATGCAGACAGCAGAAACCAAGATCTGCTGACCTCAGAACCAATGTGGTGGGTAAGATGTTTGCACATGCCATCTGCAATAACACCACGTATTTTAGTGAAAAGGGCAACCTCTTCCTGTTTCCAATCTTTCAGATCTCACAGGGAAAAAGTCTGCATTTGGTGCTACAAGTCTCATCATTTCACTGATGTTCTTCTTTAATGGAAGAGCACAGCAGGGACAGGCCTATGCTTACTTAGGCTTGGCAGGAAAAAGCATCCAGAGTCTGTAACACAGAGTAAGAGTCAGGGGTTTTTGGTTTTTTTTTTAGATTTTATTTATTTTTAGAGAGGGGAAGGGAGAAACATCAGTGTGTGATTGCCTTTCATGCACCCCCTACTGCAGACCTGGCACTCAACCCATTAAGCCACACCAGCCAGTGCTTAACACTGTCTTACTGTATTTATTTTTGTGGCTAATCTTCTACTTCTGGCAAACAATTGAATTTTCCCACCCATATGGTACAAGAAAAGGTCTTAAGTAATATAAAATTCTCCATTAGGTGTGTGACAGATGGCTAAGGAAGGTCCTGAGTTCCATTTACCCTTATCCATAGTTTTAGCTGGAAACAATTATCTAGCCCCAAAGTGCATTTCCCAGGCTCCCCCGCAGCTAAAGCAATGAAGATGAATTTGGGTCTTCTGGCTGGTGGCGGCAGGCAAGAGAGGTCAGCTGTGATTGAAGTGGCCACACTCCTTTACTAGTGTCGGGTCTGTACCTTCCCATGTGTGATGGAATCAGTTTGGGCCTCCTGTTAGCAGCAGCAGCAGCGGCACCTTTCTGAACTCCAGACTGAATGAAGCTCAGTCAAGGGTTACAAACCTGAACTCAAGTGTCTCAAATCCAGAGTGCTGTTCCTACCACCCTTCCAGTATTTCATGAGCACCCAATCCCCTCCCTTCTCCCTGAAGTACCTAGAATGGTTGCTATGGGATTGTTGCTATAACAGAAGGTACTTTTGTGAGGACTAGAAAAAAGTGAAGGATAATCTCTTCCTTACCACTCTATGTTAGACAATTACAGGAACAAACATACAAGCCCACGAAGTGAATGGTGTGACATTCCAGGTAGCATCCTTATGTAACAGAGAACCTGCCCAACGGTACAAGGTAGCCTGGGTTTCACTTTGCTACACTGAATGCTGGCTGAGATAAAACAGAAATCTGCCAAAGTAGTAAAGGTGACTTTGGCTTGGACAACATTACTACTACATACTCTATTTTCCCAAGGTTGAGAGGTTCAAAAATTCAGGATATTCTGATATGCAGAAAAGAGAACCATGAAGAACAAGAAAATAAAAACGACAAATGGTTTAGAAAATCAAACATCAAAAAAACACTTTAATTCCAACCTAACAGCACCAGGTGCAATGTCTGGGGACAGACTCTGGGTACAATGCTGTGTGACCACTCACTCACACATGCGGCTCCAAGAAGGCCCCAAACGGGGACTTACCTTCAGGGGGCCGAGCCAAGGGGAAGAGGGGAGGTCCCAAATAGGGGAGAGGGGGCAGGCATGGGGAAAAGGTGCTACTTCTTGGCAAAAGAGATCTTCATGGCATTGTTCTGGGTGATCTTGAAGCCCTGTAGGGCGTCACGAGCTGCCCCTGCCTGAACCTCATTGTCAAACTCCACAAAGGCGATGTCGTGCCGCCCTGGAACCAGCCGGACCTCCTTGAAGCCAGGGAATCTGAAAGGAGGGGAAAGACCAAGAAGATTTACAATCAGCATTTCCCTCTAATGTTGTGGCATCTGGTGGACAGAGGACAGGACGTTTGCAAAACATCCTACAATGCAGAGGACAACCACAATAACAAAGAATTACCTGGCCCAAAATGTATATACCACTAAGTTGAGAAACCCTAATAGAAACAAGTGCATACAATATGAACATATCACTTAATGAGAAGTTTTAACACAAATACCCACCAACCATAATCTAGGTCATGCTACCAAACACTGCTCTCCCCACCACCTACTCCAACTGTATCCCACCTACCTCTGCTCCAGAAACCACCACCACCCTTTTAGAATTTGCTTTTTCTTTCATCTCCCTCTTCTCATTCCCTAGTCCCTTCCCTAACCACTAGGCAACCACTCTCACCTTGACTGGGTATCCTTTTTTCCATCAGTGTTCTTACAAAATGTTTTATTCTGTGGGCGTGGTAAATGTGTGTGTGGTATTATGAGGTCTGTCTGGATAAATTCCAGCCATTGTTAATATAACGAGAACTATTTGTGAAACCTCAATGTAACCTGGCAGCCAAGGAGAGTGGACTGGAATGTGCATGCATGAACAATGACAACTTCACTGTACTAGTCAGTGTGGGTGGCAGACCCCACTGAATGAGCATGTGCATTGTGTGGCTGTTGTATTCAAAATAACTGAGTAGAACAACACACCTGTATCAAATTATGCATTAAACTTGAACATTCCTCCACAGAAACTATTTGGATGATTCAGAAGGCCGCAGCTACGTACAACTGGTGATTGGCAGCTTCAACAAGACAACACACACACTCACGCATCATGTCTTTTGTAGTCTTTTGTTGAAACATCAAATCATCCAGGTGACTCGGCCTCACTACAGCCCAGATTTGGTGCCCTGTGATTTCTGGCTTTTCCCAAAACTAAAGTCACCTTTGAAAGGGGGGAGATTTCAGACTGTTTGTGAGGTTCAGGAAAATAATACAGGGCAGCTGATGGCAACTGGGAGAACTATGTGAGGTCCCAAGGTGCCTACTTCAAAGGGGACCAAGGTGTCATTGTCCTATATATAATGTTTCTTGAATCTTCTTCAATAAATGCCACTATTTTTTTCATATTAAATGGCTGCATACCTTCTGGGCAGACCTCGTATTTTTGTTTACCCAGTTTCTCAAATCTCCTCTCAGGACTATTACACCATGCCCGAGGCACTCTCCGTTCCCTCTAACTGCAGCACAGGCACGGCGGTGAGCATCGCCCTCTGACTTCTCCCCTGACCTGAGCAATCCTCCACCATGACCACTGTGAGGAAAGTCCCCTCTACACCCCCTTGGGGCTCATATTAATAATTTCTTTAGTGCCTTTCTGGTAATAACAACCCCCCCATGAGAACATGCCGCTCCCGAAGGACCTCCTTCTTCCCTTCCCAGAAGAGAAGAGGAAACAATAGCAGCACCTAGTGCAGAGCCCCAGTTCCTACTTCATGGGTGTGAAAGCCCAGGACGCTGTAAAGTCATCACCACTGTCAGCCATGCACAGACGGTGGATTTGCGTGTTGGCTGCTCCACTGTCCTGTCAGCCTCCAGGAGAAACAGCAAGGCTGGCAGAGGATGCTCCTCCAGAAGGAAGCAGCACTAAAGCACCTACCTGAATCAAGGTGAGTGGGCAACCATTCCCATAAACACATTTTATATTCATACACTATATATTTCTCTAGGATATATAATCAGAAGCAGAGTGAGCAGGTGAAAGCACACCCCTAATTCACTAAGCAGTGAACGGTTACCCCGAGCAATGCCCATAGGGTATGCGTGCCATCAGCAGAGTATGGGGCTCAAACCTCTCCATCTCCCACACTTGCTGTTTCAGTGTGCTGACTTCTGCTAGTCTGGCCAGTGTTCAAAGAGATCATGTAAGTCTTCTTTTACATGTATTTTGCATCCTACAGACCGGAAAAATGAGGCCCCGAGTCTCTCCACCCCTACCCCCATGAGGGTGGAGGATGGCACATACACCCTGGCCACTACTGACCCCCAACCTCATCACCTCCACACCCCATGGGCTGTGGGGTCTGGCCTCAACCTCCTCCTTTCTTGCCTGCAAAGCCTTAGCAGGAGCCAGGCTCCATCAGCAGAATTCTGAGGCCTGTCCCCATGTTGCCACCTCCTGGCCATTGCCCTCTGGCCCCAGCCCCACTTACTGGTTGAAAAGCATGGAGAGCATAAGCTCATTGGTCTCCTCTGGCAGATTGGTGAGGAACAAAATGTGATTTGGTGGGTTTTCTGAAAGCTGTGGGAAAGAGATAGGAGCCCATGAGTCCAGAGGGGGATCTGCAGCCTTCTTATTCTCCTCCTACAACCCTGCTCAGTTGCTTCCTAGGCCCCCGCCCCCTAGTGCTGCCTGTCTTACCCTGCTCTGCCCCCTCTAGACTGTGAGCCACATGACAGCACTGCTACACCCAGAAGCGGTTGCTTGGCATAAGTTCAATGAATAAGAATCGAGGTGCTGGCCTCTGGTCCAGCCTCATCCTGACCTTCCGAGGCTCCTCCAACAAACATGCCTGTCACTTACTGCCCCAGGGCCTCATCTCTATCGCCCAGCAGCAGCTCCTGAGGAAGGCCTGCCCAGACCACCTGACCTACAACAGTGCCCCGACCAGTCCCCTTTGATTCCCATGTCCAGACTATTTATGAGATCCCAGGGGGACCAGACACTCACAGGCTGAGCAGGTGGCATCTGTCCTGGCATAAGCTGCTGCGGTGGCATGGCGCCTGGTGGGATCTGGCCAGGTGCAAGGCCTGGAGGTGGGATCATGCCAGGGGGTGGCATGTAGGGAGGCTGGCCTGGCATGTGGTGCATGATGCGGGGCGCCTGCGTCATCGGTGGCATGCCCTGCAAAGAAAGGGAGTGCTGGACTGAGTGCGGCAGCCAGCAAGTGGGAGGAAATGTGCTTTCAGAGTCACTAGGAGGCACAGAGAAGAGGTTATTAGAGGAATGAGACAGGGAGAAAGGCCCAAAGGATACCAAGAAAAACAGATAGAGCAAAACAGACCCAGGGTCAAAGACATCAAATCAGAAAGTTAAAAAAAAATCTAATATATAAAAATTAGCCAGTATGACCTAACTTTGTTTACAAATGAGTGGGGAAAAAAACTGGAAAACTTCTAATTATTAACAATTGCTAACTAAAAAGAGTAGAAATAAACACTATTAACGAGAACGCTATACTTTTGCTTCTAAAAATAAATTTTAAGGTAAAACCAAAGAAATGGATCCAGAGACCTACAGAGAAAAAAAGAAAGAACAGAAACAGAGATGGGCCCCGGCTGGTGTGGCTCAGTGGACTGAGTGCCAGCCTGCAAACAAAAGGGTCGCTGTTTCAATTCCCAGTCAGGGTACATGCCTGGGTTGTGGGTGAGGTCCCCAGTGGAAAGCGCACGAGAGGCACCACACATTGATGTTTTCCTCTCTCTCCCTCCCTCCCTCTCTCCCTCCCCCCTGTCTAAAAATAAATAAATAAAATCTTTAAAAATAAAGCAGATATGGACAGGGAGGATCAAGGCAGGTACAGAAAGAAATGAGAGGGGCAGCAGTGAGGGGAGGAGGAGACAGCCCAGTGGCACACAGCACATACACTGAGGGGACGGAGGGGCCAGAGCGAGAATCACACCTGAACAAAGGTGGACAGAAAGCTGGGTGAAGAGTAGCGACAAGGTAAGAGTGGGGAAGCTGGACAGTAACCTGGACACCATTCCGGATGCCAGTGTGTGAGTTGGCATCAGTGCATGCCTAGTTCAGTGGGTCCCAGAGACTTGGGACTGAAGTGGATACGATTCATCCATCTCTTCTTTTGTACTACATGTTTCTGTATCCTGTTTACAGAACACCCCTACTTTTCATGCCCTCACCAAGGCCACAAAGACATTTTCCTCTACAATATTTATTGTTTTAGCTGTCACACTCAGATCAATCTCAAATTAACTTATATCTAGTTGAGGTAGAGCTAATTTTTTCCTTATAGACATCCAACTGGCCCAGCATCATTTACTAGGAAAAAAACGCCCCTTTGCCACCGGACTGCAGTGTTAGCTTCATCGTTTGTTGAGTAAGCACACATGCGGAGCTGTGTCTGGACTCTCTCCTGTCCCACTGGTCCATCTTCCTACCCGTGCGCTAATTCCACACCATCCTGACCACTGGAGCAGCACCCCCCACCCCGATTTATTCTCACTTATCTTTCTTTGCCTTTCCATAGACACGGAGAAACAGATGTCAGTGTCCCCAGGATTCCTGCCAGGGGTCTGATTAGAACTGTGCTGACTTTTCGTCAGTCTGGGAAGAACTGACATCTGGACAGTGGGGAGTTTCTCAGGCCCTCTGCAGAGCCTACCTCCAGTCTCTCTCAGCAGCGTTCTGCAGTTTCAGAGAGGGGGGTGGGGGTTGCTCACACCTTTTGTTGGATTGACCCCTCAGCTATTTTTCAGTTTGCAGTCTACTTGTGTGTGGCTAACATGTAGAAATAAAACTTTTTTTCCCCCATATTGACCTCATACCTAGCAACCCTGCTAATAAACTAAACTCACTTATTAATCCTAACTGTTGATTAAGTAGCTTCCTCAATTTTCTACACAGAGAGCTAACATCAAGGTCAGGGAGAGAGAAACCAGAGACTGAGACACAGGAAAGAAAGATCTTAAGAAAAGAGTCTGGCAGGCAGGGACAGGCACCCAATCTACATAAGGAAATAGAAGGGGGAGATGTCTGAAACCCCAAGCAGAGACCCCTCCCCACCCCACCGCATGGCCAGGCCTCCTAGCAGAGAAGTGCCTGACGAAGAGGGCCCTAGCTTACCGGGACAGGGCCTGGGACAGCCCCCACTACAGGGGCGGCTGCCCCACCCTGCACAGCCTTCTTGGCTGCTGGGGTCTCCTGGCTCTTGGGCTTCCTCTTCTCCCGCTTACGGTCCCGCTCCACGAAGGTGCCCTTCATCTTGGCAATAATATCCGAGTCAGTCTTGGCATACTGGATGCGCTGCCAAGAGAGAGCCAAAGGGTTCAGAGTGGCTTTCAGAGCCAATTGCTTGGCTGTAAAAGCAGACCTTACCAGGAGCTCAGTGAGTGATATGAAAGAAATCACTGACCTTCAACATCTGTAAAGTGGGGTTGTGGTATTTCCCACTTCAAAGAAAGACTACAAGGACTACTTTAGTTAAAGTGACCTGAACAGTACCCGACACATGGCTAATTGGCGTTCAATGAGTGGGTTATTAAAATTTTGAAGGGAAAATGGGACAGCCCTGAGCATCAGGCCAAAGGTGGACGCACCAGGCAGCAAGCCAGGACAAGAGCACTTGACAGGGGGTTTCCAGTCATCCCTGCATTTAGTCTCCCAATCTAAACTTCATCCACTCAGCTGTTTGTGGGAACTCAAAAAGCTCTGCCCTCATGGAGCTTCTTCAGTGGGGAAGAAAAGACAAAGATTAAGAAGTGAACTGGAAAAACATTAAGTATTGAATTTTCCAGATAGGGTGTCCAGGAAAGGCCTCAACGAGGTGACAACAGTGTAAAGACAGAGAGTGGGAGCCTTGCAAACATCTAGGGAAAGAGCATGCTAGCAGAGGAAATAGCCATCAAAGAGCTAGGGTTTGCTCAGGGTATTCAAGAAGACCAAGGAGGGCAATGTGGATGAGGAGGAGGAAAGGCATAAGGTCACAGAAGCAACAAGGACCCTGAGGACCATGGGGAGGACTTTGTCTTTCCCTGAGAAAGCCAGGAGCTGTTTTAAGCAGGGGAGTGTTTCACAAAGAGTACTGTGGCCACTGTATGGATGGAGAACAAACAAACTGTGGCGAGCAGGGGCTGAAGCAGGAGGGCCAATGGGCAGACCACTGCCACAGTACTGACAAGGAATGGTGGTGGCTGGGACCAGGTCGGCAGCATGGGAGGGATGAGAAATAGGCAGCTGGTGGGTGTTTTGAAAATAGAGTTAACAGGACTCCCTGACAAAATTCACACATACCTAGGTGCTCAATATGGTTCAAGCAGTGACTTGGGAAAAAAAGTGGGGGAAGGTCAACACAGAAAGATTTATGGTTTATTAGCTCTGACCAGTATGGCTCAGTTGGTTGGGAGTTGTTCCACAAAGTGAAAGGTTGCTGGTTTGATTCCCAGTCAGGGCACGTGCCTGGGTTGTGGGTTTGGTCCCAGGTCAGGGTGCATACAACCTAGGAGCAATCGATTGATATTTCTCACCATCAATGTTTCTCTCCCTCTTTCTCCCTCCCCTCCCCTCTCTCTAATAATAAATAAGTAAAATCTCTTAAAAAAAAAAAAAGGTTTATGTTTTTTAAACTTCGAGAGTTAATTCCTATCAACTCCAGAAAGGTCACTGGAGATGTGGCAACTCTGGGCCTACAGACTCAGAGGTGGCAACAAAGGAGTCAAATCAATGGAGATGAGAGGGCTCGAGGCTGCTCTGCTGCCCCAGGGCCCACACTCACCCACATGACCCACCTCCCCCACTGAGGTCACCTGCCTGAGACCTGCAGGCACTGATGCTTTGCTGTCATCTCCCCAAGAAAATTGGTTCAGGGAGGCACATTTCAAAATCTATTAAAGAAAAGGCCCAAAGAACCAGAGATGTCTGCCAGTGATCTGGCAGAACTGCAGCTCAGGGCAGGGACTTCAAGCCACTCTAGAACTCCAAGGCTACAGCTCCCCTGGCTGTCCATTTGCCTTGGAACATCTGCAGCCCACCCAGTTTGCCCAGCTCTGTGCACTTCTGCATCCCAGCCCTAACCCCCCGACCCTGGGCTGTCTCCATCTGGTGACAGGCTCGTCTCTCTCACAGCTTTGTGGGTCTGAGGGGGCAGCGCTGGGGGCTTCCTTAGTCACTGTGTGTCCCCCTACGCCAGTACAATGAACAATAAGTGCTATGAAGAGCCAAGAGAAAGTCCTGTCCTTATGGGGCTGCATTACAGGTAACAGGAGGTACAAGCCCACTCAGTCTCCAGCAGCACCTCACACACAAGGGCACGCACATGCCCTCCACACCCACTGTGCTCACCATGGGCTTGTCGTAGAACGGGAAACCCTGCATGGAGCGCAAGGCATTGGTGGCACTGCTGACCTCCTTAAAGATGACAAAGGCCTGGCCCCTCATCTTCAGGCTCCGTGACACCAGGATATCCAGGATCTGGCCAAACTGGGAGAAGATGGCATACAGGGACTTCTTCAGCTCTGCAGTGGGGAACACAGGTCACACGTACAGATAGCATATTGCAAATTCAAGCAGTTCTTTTCCTTGGAGCACCTGGACTGGGCCTGTGCCATGTGACTCTAGCCAACTTCTCCAACCTCATCTCTCCCCATACTCCACCTCACTGCGGCATCTTCAGTCGCACTGGCCTCCTGACTCTTACTTAGCCCATCATACCAATTACGCCTCAGGATCTTTGCACCAGCCACTCCCTCTACCAGCAACACCTTTCTCCTAATGTATACACAACTGTCTCCTTCTAGTCACCCAGGTCTCACAGGCCTCCCCTAAACACCGTCTGAAGAAACGGCCTCCACGTCACTCCCCTCCTCATACCCTACTTGCTCTCCTTCCTAGCATCTTCTACCTGCTGACATCATCTTTGTTTACTTGTTGTCTAGATTTCTTTCTGAAGAGAAACACTGGTTCATCACAATATCTCCATGCTCAGTTCTGACTGCAACACACAAACTTCTCCGAAATTATTTGCATGCATAAAGATACCACTGTTTCATGGGAAGTCACTAAAGACTTCATTTTGGGTCTGGTCTCTTTTTCACCAAGTAAAAACTCCAGAATTTTAAAAAAATATTTTATTTACTTCTTTTTAGATGGAGAGGAGGGGAGGGAGAAAGGGAAACATTTATGTGTTTCTCCCTCGAGCGCCACCTACTGGAGACCTGGCCCAGAGCGCAGGCACCAGCCGACTGGACATGAAACCCACCACACCCTTTGATTCACAGGCCATCACTCAAGCCACTGATCCACACCAGCCAGGGGAAAAACTCCTGATTTTTAAAAAATAACATCTCTTGATTTGTTAAAACAAAACAAAAAAAGAGGCCACTAAATTCTTACAACTGCCCCATGAGGTAGCAACTTTAACGGTCCCAATTTGGCTAACATGTAAACGGGTTTTCAGAGAATTTGTTACTGACCCAGGAGTGTCCCCAAGGGTTCTGGGAAGCCCCTACAGAGCCAGGACTGGGACAAACCCAAGTGCATCTAAACATAGAATCACCACACCTCTCTAGTAAACTACCTTACTTGACAGCAGGAACAGAATACAATCTTATGCAAAGTGGGTATCTGAGCTGAAGATACTTGGTGAAAAACATACTAGGCAACAGAAGAAAACAAAATATGTAGGGGTGGGAGGAATAGAGGGGAAGCAAAAGTGTTTTGAAGCAATTAACCAAAAAAAATTCTGATGACATTCCTGGGTTTTGTTTCCATTCTCCATCCCTATGAACCCAGTTTGGGCCTCAGTTGCCTCCCTAGACCTGGACCTCTCCACATTTGCCCACCTAGCCCCCTCCCTCCACTGTTGGGAAGATCTTTCACAACTGAGTTCCTTGCCTGGCTCTCCAGGCCCTCAGGACAGAGCCTAACGCCTCACCCAGCCCACAGGCCCCAAGAGCCACCAGTGCACTGCTCACTGGAATCTTCTCTGGAAGTCACAGGCCAGTAGTAGGCCTCAGGCACACACACAATTTACTTGCAGTTCCCAGAATGTCCAGGGCTCTTGTGGCTAGACCAATGATATTCAACTTTTCCCATCTCGTGGCACACATAAACTAGTTACAATTGTGTGACAAACCAAAGAATATATTTTTTGCCAACCTGACGCCAAAAAAAAAGGTATAATTTTGATTCATTCACACCAGACAGCTATTATTGTGTTGGCATTGTCATTTTTTTATTTGACGATCTATGAAAAAAAGAGATCAGTACTCTTGACTAAATAGTCAGCAATTGCATGTTTTAAAAATTCTTGCAGCTCACCGGTTGAAAAACTGCTGCCCTAGACATTTGCACATGCTGGTCCAGGTTAGGAACATTCTTTTCCCTCGTTGCGACATAAATACTATATGGAGCGTCAACCTAGGTTATATGTGGATTTTCTACTGTGTGGGTGGTCGGTGCCCCCTAGCCTGTGTCGTTCAAGGTCCACTGTACTGCTTCCTCCACCTGGAAATCTTTTCCAAACTATCTCCTTTTCTGTGAAACTTAATTACTCCCTCTTTCTCAGTGCCCAATCTCAGCCCTGTGCTCCCCCTGGCTACTCTGGTTTATCACCATCTCCTAGCAGGTCTCTCATCCCCACGGGACTTGTGGCTCCATGAAAGTAGGACCAGAACTGTCCCAGTCACCAGTGTGTCCCCAGCACCAAAAAGTACTGCCAGAGCAAGATGCCCTAAAAGCACACAGGCAATTTACATGCCTAATTTTGTTTTCAACAGCAAGTTTGTCAGTAACCTCAAACTTAATCCAACAAGCTTCTTTGGTTCTTCCCACAATTTTCCTGAGGTGATAATCAGAGCTAACATTTATCCAGCCCTAATTGCTGGATATCATAAAAAAGCACCATGCCCTGGCTGTTGTGGCTCAGTGAATTGAGTGCCGGCCTGTGAACCAAAGGGTCACCAGTTCAATTCCCAGTCAGGGCACATGCCTGAGTTGTGGGCCAGGTCCCCAGCACGGGGTGTGCAAGAGGCAACGGATCTATGTATCTCTCGTATGTGGATGTTCCTCTCACCCTCTTTCTCCCTTCCCCTCTCTAAAAATAAATAAAACCTTAAAAAAACAAAACAAAACAGCACCACATGGAGTCTTAGCTAATTTAATCCCCAAAACATCCATACAAAGAAGTTAATATGATTTTGCCCAGTTTTTAAATATAGTAAATATAGTTCAATAAAGATAATGACTTGCTGAAGGAAATGAAAAAATGCCTGATGTTAAGAAACAGCTTCTTTAGCAGAATTCCACACTGATGACCTGAACCTCTTTTCTTTGCTGTGTGACCTTGGGGAAGTCACATCACCCCTGAATCTGCGTCCTAATCTGAGGAATTGGAACAATACCTACGTCCTGCAGGTTTGTTGTGAAAACTTTGAAATTAAACATTTTCACTGTGGGCTATCATTGAAAACACAACACTGACCAAGCCAGTCCCAGTTCTTGACCTCACAGGCCAGTGAATACACAGACCCATGACAGACCAGAATCATCAGGACTTTGCAGGGTGGGGGGATGAAGCCTATGGGAAATCAGGCAGGCTCCTCTTGAAAGGAAAGCAGATGGGGAAGGCCTCCTGGAGGAGAGGGACTGTGAGCTGAAACCTTTAAGGATGAGCGACTGTGACCGGGTTAGTAGACGGAAGATAAAATAAACAGGGGTAGTGTTAAAATCAAAGGAAGCAACATGTGCAAAGACCGAGGGGTTAACTCTAATATTTTGTCTGAAAGACATGCCCGAGGAAGAGAAGTGGATGCTGGTGATAAACGAGGGGGCCGGCTCGTGTGAGACGGCATGAAGTCTGCACTCCGCTGAGAACTCACCGTCCTTCTTGATCTTCTCATTGAGGTTGTTGATATAAATAGTGTGGTTGGGTCGGGCCTCGGGAACTGCCATGTAGCAAGGTGCTGCGGTAGAACTGAAAGGAAAAAGGTACCTTCAGCCCCGGGTTTCTAAAAATCTTTTATCCGAACGCGGGCTTAACGGGTTACTCGGGGATCTTCCTTCCACAAGGAAGTCAGGCAAAGTAGGAAGGAAGGAAAATGGTCCACAGTTTGGAAAACAAAGCGAACGCAGGACGCCAGTTCCCCTCCCGCGTGGTGAGGGAAATCTCCAGAGGTTGGTTTACTACGAGTCCCAGGCTGCTCTGAGCGACTTAATAGGTGGAGCGTACTAAGTGGTGATCCCCATTGGCCCACGAGCTCGCAGGGCGGCCAGGAGAAGAACCCGGATGTATGTGCCAGTTAAGGAAAGAGGGCCAATTTTGTGAAGACTTGGCCACGCGCAACGGGAAAACCGTTTCCCCACACAGGGCTGGTAAAGACTCGGGTGCCAGGCGCTCTGGCCGCCCTTGGGCGCCTGCACCCACTATTACTCACCAACACGGACACAGGTCCGAGAACGAGCTGTAGGTACGTTTCCGAACGCCAAGACCGAAGCACCCTCTCCTGGCTCCGCCTTTATTGTGTTTCAAGCCAATCCCTGCGCGGTAACTTGATAACTTGACCAATCAGAGTAATCTTTCCCGCCTTCGCCAATCAAATCTCGGGCCAGATCTTGCCAATCAATCTCGTCATATACTTTGCCAATCAAAAGACGCCCTGGGTTCCCGCCTCTGACCTCGGACAATCACGAAGAGTGCACTTTTGACGCTGCAGTCTCTTCCGGAGGCAGTCCTTTGGGAGCCCCACCTTTCCCCCTACGCGCGGCGTTCTCGGTCACGTGATCGCTAAAGGAGCGGACAAGCAACGCGAGTCTCTACTATTTGAATAGCAGAGGTTGTACGCTGCGACCGACATTTTGCGGGAAGGGGAGGTGCGTTTTACTTTTTAACTCCATACCGCATCCCAGCGGTATCTTGGATCCCAACGGCCTTCGATTTCTGAGCCTTCCTTGTCCTACAGGCCTTTCTTGTTGCGCTTTAATTCCAGAATCTTCTCCACAACTAGGCCATTCTTCCTGCCAGGTGTCCTTTTGACCTCTTGACCTCAGACTTAAAGGTCAGCTCATAGCTTCCAGATTCGGGCTTGCGGTGTATGGGGTGGGGAACGCGGGGGACTGGAATACAACCTAAATTATTACCTGGTCCTTAGCTTTGGGCCTCTAAATCCCACCCTTAGTGCCTCACGCCAGTGTGAGCCATCATATCCCAAAAGCTGACCTCCAAGTTCCCAAATCTAGCTCAGATAATAAATTAACTCCTACTCAATTTCCCTCTTTCAGGCTGGCAGACCAACTGCAAATTTGGTTTTGGATTAAAGGACACCACCCTGTCAACTCTCAGAGACGAACTGATTTGAGTCAGCCCTATCGTTGCTCCCATGGTTCCAAATTTTAGCCCTGGTCCTTTCACTGCCCTTGTTCAGTGCCCCAGTTCCGGAACTCTGCCCTAAAATTTTCAAAATCTCCATCCCTGAGACCAATCCATTTTGGAGAATCCTCTTTCTCTTCCTTCCAGTGCATGCCATAGACTCCAGAATGATTTCTTCATACTCTTCTCCCTTAAAGCCCCCAATCCATCCTCCAGGAAACCCTTCAGGCCAGGTCCCCATCATCCCACCTCCCCTACCCCCACATCTCCCAGACTCAGCCTCTCTACCCTCTTCCTCAAGTCTCCAGGCCCTTATTCCCCCACCACCACCACTGCCACCTCCACCTCCACCCTCTGCCATGGGTGCTGCTCCCCCTCATGTTTTCGGCCTAGAGAAGAGCCAGCTTCTGAAAGAAGCCTTGGAGAAGGCTGGCCCACCCGCCGGGAGCAGAGGAGACACGAAGAGGCTCCTAAAGCTTCACAAGGCCCGGTAGGGTTTGTGTTCCCTGCCCCACCCATCCAGGGGCTCACCGAACCACCTGTCCCCGCATAGCTTCTTCCTCTATGTTCTCTTGGGGTTTCCCATTTCCTCAAGGTCAGACAGCCTGACTGCTTCAGCCATGAAGAAGGATCCTGCCCTCACAAGCACCTAGTCCAGTGAGAAAAACATGCCCTTCCCTCTACCAGATGGTGACAACGAAGAGTAGGCAGAGGGAGTGATGAGGGAGTCCGGAGGGGGTGCCCAGCCCAGGCTGGGGATCAGTGGGACCTGCCTGAAGAGGACCCCTGAATGCTATTGAGCAAGTTATCAGAGCTGTGGGATGTGAGTAACCACATTGTGCAGAGACCCAGAGTGAAATGAAAATATGTTCTTTAACGGGACAGGGGCAGTGACAAGCACGGGGTTTGACAGTTGGGCAGGGAATGGAGGGCCATGTGAAGGAAGGCAACTGTCCTGTGGAGGGCTTTGCACAGCGAGGGAATGGAGGAGGTAGTGATACTGGTTCCTGTGGGCCAAGGAGGAAGCTGGAACACCCAGGGACCTGAGCAGGAAGGGAGGGGCCTAGACCTGACTGAGCTGTGTGGACCCCACTTAACAATTGCCTGGCTGAGGGGAAGAGGGAGAAGTGACTAGTCCAGATTCATAAGAAACTTCTAGCTTTCTAGGGAAGTTGATAATCTTTCCTAAATGCCCCAACCATAGATGTCCAGCACTGTTTTTAAGTATTTATTTAATCCTCTCAGCAATTCCATGAGGTAGGAACTATTACCCTGTTTTCCAGATAAGGAAACTGAGGCTCAAGGCAGTGAAGTGACTTAGCCACAGTGCTTAACAGAGGAACAGCCCAGTTTGAACTCTGGGAGTGGGGCTTCATACTTTTAACCACCATGCTGCAGCGTCATCTCGTTCCATCAGGAGGGTACCCCCCACCCCAGCCCCACTCGCTGGCCTGGCCCTTTCACTGGCCTTGGAATAGAAATTAAGCACATCTCCCTGACTCTCCCGTGCCCCGGAGGTAGAGGAATTGATTGGGATCCGGCAACTCTGAGTGGCAGGAGGGTGGGGCTCATTATCAAGATGCTCTCTCAGCCTGGAGCTTGTTACCTAGTTTTTAGTCAAAGCTGAGTTAAGGAATTTTCACCTTATTTAACAGCCTGCAAGACAGGTTTGAGAGGGGAAAATTGGAGTTTGGGTATAGAGACAATCTTCCAAGAAATTTTCTCTAATCACTGGCTCCTAGTTGCAAAGCTCTTGCACATCTGTCCTTTACCTCTTCAGTAATTAGGAGAAGGAATAGGGAGCAGCAGGTGAAAGGGTCATTCCCATTGAGAGGATGAGAAATTGAGACTGGGCAGGGAGGTGCCCTGTCAGGTGAAGGAAGTCGGTGACTGAGCCCGGAGCTGAGCTCAGGCCTCAGGACTGCTGGGCCTGTATTCCTCCCCTTCACTACTCCCAGCCAGACCTCGGGGCACTGTAGGAGCTGGTTCTCATGTGACCTGATTTTGGCTCTGATTCAGTTTCAGAAGTGACTTGCATTGGATCCTCTTCTGTGCAGACCTGCCCTCCCTCATCCAAGAAGGCCCTCAGTACGTGCCCTGATGTGGAACCCCAAGCCCTTGGGAGCGCCATGTGTCCCAAGCCTTTGACCTTGCTGTGCTTACTGAGGATGGACCCAGGAGGGTGGGAGGAGTGGGTTCATCTCATCCCAGTAGCCTGGGGAGGACAAGGGGAGTGGAAGGAGAGGGGGAACTTCCCAGGTCAGGGTCCTGGGCACATGCACAGTAAATGGTTGGAATCAGTGAGCAAGTGAAAGAACAAATGAACCTGGTCCATAGTCTCCAACTCTGCTTTGGCAGCTAGCTACTCATCCTGGAAGCCCAGGGGACATGTCTCCCTACCCTCCCTTCTCCTCACCTTCAGTACTTGGCCAGCCTTCTGCCATGAAAGGGCATTGTCTCCCCACCCTGGGAGAGGGGAACGGAACTCCCCTGGGGCAGCCAATCTATTCCCCATACTCCAGCTTCCAGGGCAGAGGGGGCCGTGGACTCAGGCACTGAGGGGCTGGGCTTGTTTCTCCCAGGTGTGGGCTGGTGGCCCTGTGGATGGCAGGCACTCTCCTGGTGCCCCCCAGTGGCATCCCCCTAGAGAGACTCGTGCAGATGGCCATGGAGAGAGGCTACACAGCCCAGGGAGAGATGTTCTCCGGTGAGTTGGGTGCAAAAGGCTCACAAGCCTGGCGTTCTTCACCAGCAATAGACTAGAGAGGCTGGGTGGGACAAGGTACATGGGAGGGCCTTATTCCATTCCTTAGGCCCTTCCCCCACCAAGTGTTACAAGCTAGACTCTGGAGCAATGCTGCCTGGGGTCCCAGCCCAACTCTGCCACCTCCTGCTGTGTGGTCCTACATGAACAGCTTACCTTCTTTGTGCTTCATTTTCTGCATCCGTGCAAGAGATGACGTTCACAGCAAGGATGAGAGGCATCGACCCGTGTGAACCCTTGAAATGGTACCAAGCACACAGTGATCCCTTATTGTGTCTGCTGTGTCCCCACAGTGGCTGACATGGGCAGGCTGGCTGAGGAGGCACTGGGCTGCGAAGTGGAGCTGCTCCGTGGTGGCCTAGGCGGTCCCAACAGGGACCGTGTCCTGCAGCACCTTGTTGCTGGACATCCCTTGCTCGTCCCGTATCCCAGGGCAGGACGGGAACGGGGGGCAGGGGGGGCGGGTGAGCCCCAAGGCCACACCACAGCTTTGGCCTTAACTCCATCACCAGCTATGATGAAGACTTCAACCACGAGCCATGTCAGAGGAAGGGCCACAAGGCCCACTGGGCAGTGAGCGTTGGTGAGTCCCCCTCCCATGTCCCTGTGTGCTCACCCTGGATCTCCCCAGCCTTGCATCATCCCTCTTCACATTCTCACCCTTGTACTCACTGGGACCTCCCCAGTACTTGAGGCAGGGACAAGGACTGGGCCATCCCTGTCCGCACAGGATGCTGTACTTAGCAGGGACCTGGCAGGCAGCGGCGCCTCAGTATCTGCCAATTGGGGTTTCCACAAACAAGCCCAGCTCAGGACTGCTGGGCCTGTATTCCTCCCCTTCACTACTCCCAGCCAGACCTCGGGGCACTGTAGGAGCTGGTTCCAGAGTGCAGATTTTTAGATCAACGTTCTGGACTCCAGGCTCAGTCCTGCCACTTCCAGGCCCTGCCTCTGGGCTTCCATGTGCCTGTCTGGAAATTGAGGTGACAACAGAACCCTCCTCATAGGGTTGCCTTATCGGCAGAGCATGGAAAACCCTCCAAACAGTGGTCTCTAGCACATTGCACATCTCGGTAAGTGTTAGCTGTGATCAGCATTGTCCTCATTTCACCTGCCTACAAGGAAGAGGGATCTGTATGCATCAGGTGGCCCAGGTCAAGGCTCTGCTGGACCTCCTCCTGGCTCTGGCCTTGAGGGCTCCACTCCTAGCATCTTCCTCCTAGGTAGCGGGAGACGACTGGGTGACAGTGTTTGCTCTGTTTAATGTCAGCTCTCCACCTCCCAGTGCTGACAGGCTGTAGGGGGCAGGACTTAAAAGTGTCTGCAGCTCTGGAGCCAGACACCCCGGCTCCAAATCCCAGCCCAACTGTGTGCTTGCTGACCCCATTAACTTCTCTGTCATGTGGGGACCGGCAGCACCTTCCCTGGAGGGCTGCACCCCCACTCACAGCCTCTCCCTCTCACAGGGGTACTGCTCGGTGTGCAGTGTGTGCCAAGCTCCGGCTATGCTGAGGACGCTGAGCTGCCAGGTCTGTTTCACCCTGTGCCCGGCATGCCCTGTCAGCCACCACCGCTTCCGGAGGAAGACTCGCAGGGAGCAGTCTACCTTCTCGCCAAGCAGGGCAAGAGTTGGCATTATCAGCTATGGGACTACAACCAGGTCCGGGATAGCAACCTGCAGCTGACAGACTTCTCACCCTCTCGAGCCACCGATGGCCAGACCTATGTGGTGCCTGCTGGTGGAGTACAGGCTGGCCTCTGTGGCCAGGCTGTGCTCCTCAGACCATAGGACTCCAGCCACCAGCCTGCCACAGCCCTGAACTGGGGGTGATGGGATCCAGACCGCAGGTTTTCCTCTGTGACTACCCAGGGGCTTGGGCTGGGTCTCTTGTGGACCTCCAGTGAGAGATCCTTCACACAGGGTACCCCACACTCTATTCATTCTTAAGCCTGGGCTTCATCCCAACTCCTCCATCCTCATCCTCTGCGTTGGGCACCGACTGTGTGGGCTGGGGTTAGAGCCAGAAGCCAGACAGACAAGGTTCCTCTCCCAGGGGGGACAACGGCTTAGACACCGAGTCCCATCCACCCCACCTGAGTGTTGCATCCACCGCTTCTCACTGGTGGCCACCCTCTTCTGAACCGCCAGCTCTCTGGACATCTGCCTCCTTACCGGGCACCTTGCTGCCTGCCAGTACCTGTTCACGTGGGGTCAGGGCTAAGGGAGCAAAAAAGAAACAACTTGGGCTCCTCACAACCTTCCAGAGAAGCTTGTGGCAGTTCCTTTTTGCTCAGAGAATAGGAACTAACCTCCCAGTCCCAGCTCACCTGCTGCCACCAGCCCTACTGGCCTTTCAGGACCCCAGTGCACCCGCTGTAGCCCTCTGCTGATGATCATCTGTAACTGTTCCCTCAGGTTCTTCAACTGGTCTAATAAGTCTACGTGAGACTGGTTAACGAGAAAAGAACCAAATTTAATATGTACATAATGGGAACCCCACATACATGAGAGGTTCCAAGACAGGGAAAAGGAGGTATACATGCCATTCTGAGCTAAGGTTCACCTTGCGGCCTCAGAGGGAGGAAGGTCACCGCAGGATGATAGGAGCAATTAGAAGTTCACCCTGCTCTATAGATGGGTCAGAAAAGTGTCTGATAATCTCATTATGGGCAAGGCCCCTCATTCAGACTGTTCTAGGTAGTTCGGGGGGAGGAGCCTTCAGTCTTGATTACCCTAGCTCAACCCACATACCACAGAGGCACATCTTGGGGTGACTCATTCTGAACCCCTATACCACCTTGACTCATCACAGGTTCCCTCTGTGTTCTGATTTTTTTAAAAGACATGCATCTGAGAGCAATGGAGTGTGCCAACCCGGTCACACTTGTTAACTCATTACATGCTTCAGTCTCATATGTAAGGTACTCGGTCCTTTCCACGTTACAGATGGAAAGACAGGCTTGGAGGAGTGTAGTCATTGGCTAAGGCCACCTTGCTTGGCAAGTGGCAGGGTCGGGATTCAAACCAGGTTAGTACCTGCATAGATACCTAGATAAATAGATACATATTTTTAGGTTAGTTTAATGAATGAATATCTGTTGAATATTTGTGACCAAAACAGGCGTGTTTTGGTCACTGCCATGTCTGTGGTGCAAGGGAACTTTAGAGAGACTACAGTATATAAATAGTGTTTTGGGTTTTCTAGTGTTTCTAACCAGAAGTGAGGAACCCCCTCCACCTGTGCCCCCCCTTCCCAGCCCTAGCAGTTTGGCATTCCCGTGCGCTGTCCTGCCTGAGCTGGCACAGAGCCAGGCACAAGAGCAGCTCAGTGAGGACTCCAAGCCTGCGTCTGTACTCCAAACCGGTCACTGTCCTGTTACCCAGGCTCAAAGTTATGTGCTTTGAGCCCACACCCCAGATGCAAGGAAAAAAAAAATTTCCATGAAGTTGGCTTTTGAACGTCCTGTTTACTGGGGAGTCGTCATTGAGGGGATGGCAGTTCAGGGATGTTGCCGCCAGGTCCCCAGCACTGCCCCATCTGTCTAACAACTACTTACATAAATAAGTATAAAGGTCAATAGAAAACGAGTGTGCCTCCCAAGTGCTGGAAGACCATGTTAGAGCTTTGACTTCCAGAGGTGCTTTTCAGCCCCGTGGGCCAGGAGGCCAGTTACAGGTACAACAGTGCGTTGGGGCACCACGCACCTCGGGATGCTGGGGTCTTTGGTTTGGACAGGTTGTGAGCCTGTGGTGACAGCTAGCAGCCCCACCCACCCTGAGCATCTGGCCCAAGCCAGGCACTTCTCACAGCAGGGGCCGAGGGTGGGATGGGGGATACTCAAGAAAGGCAGCGCTGATACCCAAGCTGGTTTCCCTGCCCCTGAAAGCCCTTCTTGCCACCTCAGCTAAAATAAAGGGCAACTAAAAGGGTAAGGGGAGGACATGGGAAGTCCTGAGGCTGAGGTGGCACCAGAGGAGGAATGAGGTTGTGCTGGTCGCAGAGCTGGCACGGGATGTGGCTGCGGTTTTGGTCTGCAGGGTGTCAGCAGAGTTCTCCCAGGAGCAGAGGCAGGAGAGCAGCGTCAGCTCTCAGGCCAGTCCCATGGCGTCACTCCCTCCAGTCAGCATTTGAAGGGCCCCGACCAAGTGATGGGCCATAACGCTTCCAGACAGACACGCTGGCTCCAGCATTTGTCCACAGAGCAATCTGGTCCTCCCAGCACCACAGAAGCAGCTGCCTGGTCCCTGGCCTTGAGCCTGCTGGTGGCAGGAGGAGGCCTGCGAGCCCTGATTAGAGTCATTCATATGGTAATAGCCATGTCAGGCCCACACCCTGCACCCTGCAGCATCTGAACCGTGTTCTTTCAGGGTGTGGTTTACTTGTTACCTCCAGCGGCACCTCAGGAATCTTCCTTGCTGGCCAGAGGACCCAGTCTGGTTCTGACTCAGTGGGATCCAGCCATGTCACGTCACCTCTCTAGCCCTTACAAACCCAGTATCAGGAAAGAGCTGACACTACCTGGTCTCCAAGGCCCTTCAGATCTTCTACACTGGGCTTGGGTGGTGTACAACACCTCTCCTGTCTGGGAGGTCAGGACCTCCATGGTCGACCTCAGGCCCCTGCATAGCTCGGGGCTCCTCCAGCCAGCTGAGTACCATCCAATAAATAAACCTGGCAGCAGGCAAGTGGGTCAGCTCTGGGCCAGCCCCTGAAGAAGGTGAATCATGTTGTCCAGGCCCCAGAGGTAACCGTCCTCACGGTTACCCTCAGCCCAAGGCAGCCGGTGGCTGAGTGTCTGGTGGTCGGGCAGAGCCACTGTCTTGCCAAAGTCAATCATCCAAACCTTGGCCAGGCCAGTGCAGTCGTGCACAAAGAGAAGGGAGCTGCCCACCACCTGCAGGGAGACAGGCAGCAGTCAGGGACAGAGCAAGCATCACGAAGGTCCCATCCCCAAGGGGGCATCTGAGCAGGGTGGGTGACAGCATGAACTTGAGACAAGTTGCCTAGGTTCAAATCCTGGCTCTGCTACTCATTGGCTGTTATGCCTTGAGCAGGTGACCTAACTTCTCTGTGCCTCTGTCTCCTGATACACAAAGTGGGAATAATGGGGTAATAGTACCATTTACCTAAAAGGTTGCTGGGCATATTATATGTATGAATTAATCCACACAAAGCACTTAAAACAGGTGCCAATATAGCAAATGCACAGATGTTAACTGATATCCATTTTCAAGCTGAGTTACAAACTCAAATGCCTGTAGGATCCTGAATGGGTCAGGAGAGGCCCGTGGGGACTAAGAAAGTGGTTCACACCTTCTCTATGGAAAGAGTTAGCAACTACACAGCCTTGGCAGATTGCTGCTGGTAACCACAGGCAAGTGGCTTCCTTTCCCTGGGCCTCAGTTTCCTCATCTGTAGAATGGAGGTGATGACCACAGCCCTACCTGCTGGGGTTGTCCACAGCATTCCATGATCCGTGCACTTAGCAAGGGCCTGTGGGGCATGCCCACAGCCCTCAAAGATGCTGCTTTTGTTTTTCTAATTAGAAACAGTAGTTTCCTTGCCTTCACCTAACTCCATGTTTGCACAACCCTCCCTTTTCCTAACCTGGTTTGGAACCCCACAGCTGCCAGGGAGCCCAGGGAGCCCAGATGACAGGGGCCGATAGCAGGTGCCTGTCTCGAACAGGTGTCTGTGAGTAGAGGCAGATGCCACCCCACTCTGGGGGGCTGTTGGGATGTGGCAAGTGGCCCAGTGTTACCACGTCTCCCAGTGTACCAAGGGAAACTGGAAACCCTGATCTGGGTGTAAAGTCTCACATTTTAAATGCTGGCAACTCATCTTTTAAAATGTAAGTCACCGAGTGGATGACACCAAACACAAAGACAGATGAGATGTGTGCCCCCCAACCCTGGCCTCCTCTTTGCAACTTGTAAAGCACAAAGGCAGTGACAAGGTCAATGAAGGTGACTTCTGATAAGAAACGTGACGGTAACAGCTGGCACACATTGAGGGTTTCCTGTGGGCTACACGTTCCCTCTGTTAATCCACTTAACCTTCAGGTGGCCCAGGATGCAGCAGGTGCTCCTGACCCCATCCTGCAGGCCAGCAGACGGGCCTGCAGAGCTGGGGTCCAAACCCAGGCCAGCCGGACTTTCAGATCAGGGCTCTCCCAGAAGTCAGTGATACCAGAAGAAGGAGGTGAGCAGTGTTGGGTGGGGGTGTGGGAAGAGCCTGTACAGAGGAAGGGAGGAAAGGATGCAAGAGGTGCTATCACCATTTGCCAGACTCTCTGAGATAGCCCCAGAGTGATGAATGTTTCCGAAGAAACAGGCTGCAGAAGAGGGAGAGGGTGAGGGAGAGAGCCACTGAACAAGGAATGCAGATAACAATAACTGTAAAAAATTATGATTACAAAGTAACTGTAAGAGCTAGGAGTTAGCACTGGCCAGGTTGCTCAGTTGATCAGAACATCGTCCTGATACACCAAGGTTGCAGGTTCAATTCCCAGTCAGAGGACATACAAGATGCAACCAATGAATGCGTAAATACGGGGGACAAAAAAATCAATGTTTCTCCCTCTCCCTCTCAAAAACAAACAAAAAAGAGCTAGATGTTAAATGCACTTCCATGCTCCAAATGGCACTCAACAGTTGCTCGTCTCACGCCTCAGCAGCCCTGTGAGGAAGGTAGCATTGCTCCTTCCCACCTTAGTAGGAAACCAAGGCCTGAGAGGTCACATAGCTGAGAAGTCACATAGCAGAGCCAACCTCATCCCAGGCTGCTTGGCTCAAGTCCATGCTCCTCACTGACCCACCTCCCTGAAATCCCCTGTACTGCCTACTGTGAAAAAGCAGACCCCCAAATATGGAGTCTCATTTTAATTGCTTAATTCTTTCAGCAATTTCTCCTCAGTGTGACCTGGACCCCAACCCACCCCCACTTCACACACACACAGGGCCCTCTGCTCCCATGGCGGTGGGGCTCGCACCTCATGGGTCTCAAAGAAGGGGGAGTTCTCCAGAGCTTCACGAAGTTCTTCTAGGCGTGCCACGTACTTTCTCTGTTTGAGAGGGAGAGTTTCTTGGTTAGCATAGGGACTTTGGGGGCCCTTCCCCGCCTTGGGACCTGGCCTTATCCTATACCAGCTGTGGTGGGTAAGGGGAGCTGTGGGGAAAGTGGGAGGGGAGGTTGGATACATTGGGGTGGTGCAGACAGGGGTAAGGTTAGTAAATCACTGAATACCCATACTTCCTAGCAGCTCCTCCCACCCAGAGGTGGAGTCTGGCCCTGGCTGGGTAACTCAGTTGGTTAGAGCATCACCCCATGTGCCAAGGTTGTGGGTTTGATACCCAGTTAGGGCACATATAAGAATCAACCAATGAATGCATAAATAAGTGGAACAACAAATTAACATTTCTCTCTCTCTCTCAAATCACTAAAAATATTTTTAAAAAGTGGAGTCTGCTCCCCTTTAAGGTGTGGTTGGTTATGACTTGCTCTGGCTAAGAAACACAGCAGAAGTAATGGTGGCTTAGCCACCAAGAGGCCTTGCATTTTCACTTGTTCTCTTGGCCAGCTGCTTCCACTGTGATAACAAGCCCAGGTGAGCCTGCTGGATCATGAGAGACAAGTGGCCAAGTCACGATCCAAGACCACCAGACAAGTGGGCAGGGCCATCTGGACCAGCCAGCCCTGGCCAAGCCACCCGTGACCACAGATGGTGAGCAACACCAGCCAGTATCAGCCAACCTCGGCCCTGAGGAAAAGACCACCACTGGGGGCAACAACAATGGCAGTGGCCCTAAACTGCTAAATTTGGGGCATGGGTGTCCCACTCACCAGGATTCCACGATTCCCATCCACAAAGTCCTCCAACACCTTTGTCACCTGCTCCAGTTCCTGTGTCTTCTTGAAGTTGGTGTTGCAGGTCCCATCGGCTTTCTGCAGAGCAAGGGTTGAAGGCATAGTGTCATTACTTTCCTTCTCATGCCCAACACCAGCTAGCCTCAGGCACCTCCTGGGCCACCTACTGCCTCCATACTCACTTACTGTTCAGCAGAAGCCAACCCGCTTGCCCAGCTCAGATCAACCCAGCCCCAAAGCACACTCTGAGCAGCTAGTCCTTCCAAGTCTAACCTTGAACCCCCTGCTTGAGCCAGTCTAGTCAAGTGGGCTCTGGAAGGGGGTGAATCTGGCTTTGCACTGTGACTCTGCTACTTCCAAGCTGGGTGGCATTAAGTGAGTCACTTCACCTGACTCAACCTCAGTTTCCTTGTGTGAAAGATGGGAATTGTGTCGGTATCTACTTGCTAAAAGCTGGTGTGAGGATGAGAGGACATTGGGTATGTAGAATGCTTGGCACATAGCAAGCAAGCACTCAGTAAATGAGGCTAATGTTCTTTTTCATGTCTGAGAGGGGCACAGAGAGCCACCTGAGTCACA